AGTAGAAAGTATTGATGTTTATGGTCATGGGTAATCCGCGCCTACCGTTTCGGTACGTCTCACCCGTGGGTGCTAAAGCCCCGGAGCACCCGCATAGTCAAAGCCGTTGTACTTAGATATAAATAAAACTGAAGTGCCTGTCTTTACATTAATGTTAAAACAATTGCAGCTTTTTAGATCCATTTGGTTATTTGTATGCTATTATGACACAAACAATCCCAAAAAAATTTGTTTGCTTGTCTTATCTTTTAATCATCGAAGTGACTGAACTGATTTTGACAGACACTGAGAGAAGGCTGTCAGGAGGGTTCTATAAGATACTTTTTTGTAACTTTAGTTTTGAAATATTTTCACGCAGACGAAGTTACGATTAGAATCTACTTTTATTCGTCATCATCATAACGCTATGGCTAAAGCTATCCTGAGCTAGTCTATGTATTTTTCTAAAACTGGAACATTCCACAACCTTAACTATTTATGAACAGTAATCTAGGTCTAATATGTCTCTATTAACTAACCCTTTATGTCTGAGGAGGAGTTCTAGCAACCTATCTCGCTATCTACTTTTGTTAGGTATAATTAATTACCATTTATTATAAAAGTGAAATGATGAGGATACCGTGGATAGAGAAGGTTAGAAATGAAGAGGTATTAGAAAGAATAAGAGAACAGAGGACTCTATGGAAGTCAATAAGAAATGGGCGAGATAGGTTAGTAGGACATCTCCTTAGGCATGAAGGTCTAGTCAGAGACATATTAGTGACAACAACGGGAGTTAGGAGCGGTAGAGGTAGGCCTAGATTAGATTACAATTGGCAAATAGTTAAGGATGTGGGTTGTTCTAGTTTTAGGACCGAGCGGCATGGCCTAGAGGTCTAGACCATTGCTTAGCATTCGGGAGGACGCCGGTTCGATTCCGGGTCCGTCTGCTTTGGTCCAAGTTTTTCTGTGGTTTCCTTGGAACTCTTAGGCAAATGCTGAGGCAGTAATATTCCACAGATAATCTTTCACTCTCTCCTGTCTTCATTTCGTCCGTCTCATCTTTCTCACCCGAACCACCACCCACCCATTCCCACGATTCCTGAAAGCAGTCTGAAGACGGCCTTCCGCCCTACCTTCCGGCATAGTCCGGAGGGACTGTCCGCCCACCAGCATTACTGGCTGGTGGGAATGAAACACCCAAAAGTTTTTTTTTCTAGTTTTAGGGAAATTTGAAGATTAGCTCAGGATAGGAAAAAGTATAGGTGCGTGTCCAACCAGTTTTAGGACTGACGACCTTATGATGATGATAAAAGTTGTATTAATTTTGATAAATGTTTCACAATAGATTTGAAAAAGATTTTTAATAGTTAGGCAACTTCACTGAGACGGCGCTTGCAACCTATACAACCACAAATTTTATTTATCAGCCTAATATGTGTAGTAGATTATGGTTTTGAAAGGTTCTTGAAAAAGACCACCCAATACAGTATGAAAAAGTGTGGTTTTTAACGCTGCACGAATCCCTCACGATTATTCTGTTGGCGAGTAAACAAAAATCTCGACCCGAAATACGAGTTCACACTTATTATCAGCAAGGTGTGAAACGATATTTCGAGAGCGTTAATGGATAACTAAGATGGCCGAGCACGTCGTGTTTATATTGTTATTATCACCATTATTATATTTGCCGTGTCATCGGCATATACATAAAGGACTTTGCTACGTCCCCTAATTTTTTTGATACAACATGCCCGCATATCTGCAAAGTAAAGAGGAAATATATCTGGATCAGTAATTATCACTGTCCAATGTTCTTCTAACTTATTATTAATAGTATACCTACCTATCTACCAAGCACTTATTATTCTGCCTAACCTAACCTAACTTAACCTAACCTAACCTACCTACCAAGCACTTTTTATTCTTCCTGTTATAAGATATTGTACAGTTCTACTTTTAACAACATAAGTAAGCTTTCTACAGCGCTTTTTAATATAAATCAATTTTGGTGGCACATCAGTGAGTTATGGGTCATTTTCAATACCCATAGCGCTAGAGATATCAACGATTGAATAAGTGCGTAACCTGCATGTTTAGATTTACTTCATAATATTTATTTGACGTCTAATTAATTACCTTATCTATTAATTTCAATTAATTAAACTAACAGCTTCGGCATTGTTCATTTTCCATACACTCCAATTTTTATGGCTTGCAATTGAGTTTAATAAGGTTAATTTTTGGCAACCATCGTTAGAGATATCAGCGACGTATTACGCAAGCAACCAACATTAGATCGGTATTAATTCACCTTAAAATTCAAACTACAGTAATTAAACCATAAATTAATTTATTACAACGATCTGTAAATAAATAAAACAAAATTATATAATAGTGTAACTTTATATTTAACGATTCACCTCATGATATTTATTTGATGTCTAATTAATTACTTTATTTATTAATTTCAATTATTTAAGCTGCCAACTTCCGTATTGTTAATTCGAGTACAGAATGTTTCACGGTAAATTAAGTTTGTATCTACCTATTCCCGCAGGTATTAATACGTATTTTCGCCTATTATAATTATAAAAGTAGACATTTTAAACTACATATACAAGCTTTCTGCATCGCCTTTTCCATACAAATCAATTTTTGTGGCTTATCATCGTGTTTCAAGTTGATTTTTAGCACCTAGCGCTATGGAGATATCAACGATGGAACAAGCGCGCAACCTGCATACATATTTAAATAGAATCGTTGTCAATTCACGTTAAAATTCAAAATAATGTAATTAAACGATATATTAGTTTATTTTATATCTAATACAGACTGATTCACGGTAAATTAAGTTCATACCTGTTTTCCAAGCATTATTAATATTTATTCTCGCTTATTTTATAATAATTATTAAAGTGGTCATTTTAACCAACAAATACAACTTTACTCTAGCGTTTCTTCAATACGATTTTTGTGGCTTATCTTTGAACTAAAGGATCATTTTTAGCAACCGGAACTAAAGATATCAACGATGGACTAAGCGCATAACCTACGTGTAGACTTTAATTAAATTAATTAAACCTAATTAGGTCTCAAAATTCATCAGGATTTTGAAATATCGTAATCTCTAAACCAAAAAATCCAATTTTTGATCGCTTTGGTGGTATAACCAAATAAAATGAGAAATGAAGCAAGGGAGTAATCACCACTGCGAAGTATCTTTTGTCTTTCCTGAACAGTGCTAAAAATTAATTCTCCTCCTTCGGTAAAAACGTCGATGATGCCGTATATCCAACGTTTCGCCAACTGCAATGGTTGGCATCCTCAGGGGTAGTAGGCAAAATGTAAAATATTTTGCTGCGGTTATGTCTCATTCTTGGTCTGTTATTGTATTCCAAACATCTGTAAAACTTATTGCCGCTGTGCCAAGACATCAGGATATTATATGTGTTATCCATTCGAAGTTTTTTTTTTACTTTTCATCGTCGTATCGTTTGTCATTTTAGCAAATTGCAACGGAAGTTATTACGTGTGTGTTTTATGAGCATAAAAAACAGTCCCAACAGTCTGCAAATTCAATTTATTTCCAATTTACTAGCACAATTACACAGCAGGGACAATAATTGGGTAGCTACGAATCTTGAAAGTGATTTGTACCTGATGAAAGTGCGAGAAGATGTGTAATCAGGCAGCTGTCGTTCTTTCCTTGGTTCAATTAATCATATTTCTTTATGAGGGTTAAGGCTTATTACAAATTGTTTATACAACCCGCGATCCCTTACAAAAACAGTGAGAGGTCCATTGAACAAGAGCAAAATAACTTCTTCTTTATTACTTTTTGGTTTGGTTTTCAATTGTTCTTTTTAGAAAGTAATATATCCGATGCACCTGATTTATACAACTTATTCATCCCATCATCGTCATTCCCAAGGAGTCGTCAGTCCTAATACACACCTCTACTCATTTCTATCCTAAGCAAATCTTCGCCAGGACCGTCTTTGACCTATCAGAGGACCTGGGCACATAAGGTTAACGGGGCCCTTATGACATTGACAGAGGTTTATTTTTCCAAAGTAGTCAACCAACAATACTATGTTTATTAAAAAGTTGTGATTAAAGCAAAATCGTTAATTAATTAATTCATTTTTATTCTTTTAATTTGGAGAAAGAGCACTCCCCAATGCCGTTGGTTACCATCAAGCTTAAAACAATTCTCAATGCATTTCCTACATTTGGAAATGTGTATTTAATTTTGTTTTGTATTTAATAAATAATAAATTTTCGGTTGGTAAATGGATCTGGCAGAAACTAATACGAAGAGTCTCCGTCGATCGCGGGGCCCTGGACAATAGCCCAGTGTTCCATTACAAAAACTGAAGTAATTTCACTTCCGGTGGAACTGGAAGCAACATTGATTGAGCATTTATCCCAAAACATGACGACAATCAACTTTGACCCAAGAAGTATAGTGATATGTTTAAAAATAAAGAAATTATGGCTTGGGGCCCTTTTTATAATCTATCTCTATAATAATAATAATAATAAACTTCAGATGATTAGGGTTGTAAGGTTTTTTATTAATTGCAAAATCGACACCAACGTTTCTCCTCTTTTGTTGTGAGGTTTTTTCAATGTAGGCTTTTTAGTTAGATTTACATACTTATTAGTGTTTCTTCCGCAATTACAGATCAAAAGCGGGGTAACGTTATTTCCGATTTTGCAATTAACAAATAAATCTTGCAACCCCCATGAGGCTCTGATAGAAACAAAAGCAATAACGGAGTTGATTTCTCGTAATATTATTAAAATTGAAGAGTCCTTCAACAAGAATTAAGGAATGCAGTTTTCCTCCATTTAATGTTAATATTTCGATCGTTGAATTTTTAAAACAGTAATCATTGACACGAAATGTTATTAAGTAGCCGAATATTTTACGAGATTGCATGCAAGTTAGGTAGCTTGAAAGAATTTATGCAACACAAATCTGGATCAAATTAAATTATTCTTTTTTGTTTCAGAGCTCCAGTGTGTTAGGATGGAGAACCATGAGGTTTGATGGAATTCAGGGGATAATCAAATAGCAGCAGAATGCCTAAGGTTAGATTTTTTTTCAATGTCTGGTAGCTATTTGAGTTACTTTATCTGTTTTAAAAAGCACATTAGAAATGTCAGGCTCATAGTTATACATACATAATAAAAAGGTCACTAATTTAATGACAAATGGTGAAACACGAAAACAATTACCTACTTTGTAGGTACTAAGGTGAAAGCAAAGTTTTGCAATATTAATTTCTAGATATTTTGTATCTTACTATTCACAACTTTATCAGAAATGTGATTGCATTACAGATAACGATCGGTATAAAACAGTTGCAAACCAAGACGGTACGATTAGAGATGTGATTTATTTAAAATACAAACACATAATTAAAATTATCTATTTTTGTCTTGCAGTTAAATACTTTTTTGAGAAAAGCATTTTGTATTTTATTTAAAATACTTTTCCAAACCTTTTCTATTTATAAAGTGCATGCACTATACATTTTTGGCGTCAAAGGTTTTGATAGTACCACCGATCAAACATTATATAAAATGATGAATGAAAGTTACTCACATCAGCCATTGAAAGTATTAGAAACTTAAAAAGGGGACAAAGAGACATGCCCTCTATTTCTTTAACTGAAGAGCCCAAAAAAATTCTAAACTTTTTGGAAATGGATAATCTAAAATGTTGGATCAANTAAAAGTTTAACTGAGGAGAGCCCTAAAAATTCTAAACTCCTCTAAAATGCATAATCTAAAATATTGGATCGATATTGTTTTCCGGATTCAATGTCATGGTCCACTGAATTTTGCAGTTCCAAAATTGATTTCAACACCTTCCAAATCACCACTTGTACGTACCATTAGCAAGAAATTACGAAATTGTATGAATTACGACAAAACAGTCCGCAAAACAATACTGACTAGATGAATCCAAAGCTAAAGAAACTAGGGATTCCATTTCTTTTTCTTGTTGCAATGTGTAAAAAAGATGGGAAACAAAATTGGGTTGTAATATTTTGATATAAAATGATTGATGTTGATTTCACATCAATAAAATTATTTGCAACCCTATTTTGGCTCTGATCTTTCTCGGTAAATAAACTCATTTGCTCCTGAAGTTTTTCTCACACGAAGTTTTTATTCATTCATTCATGTTTCATCTGCTGTTATTGGTAGGTAATGATCTGTTTTACATCCTCGCTCTTGGGCATTTACAAAAGGGAGAGTCTTAGTCATCGCTATTAGAATCCCATTGTTATTCATACATAACTTCTAAATTAACCTAGACTTAATTTCACGTGCTGCCGTTGTTGAACGAAAAATGGTAATTTTAAAATTAGAACGAAGAACCTGTACCACCATAACGACAAATAAATTGTTGGTTTGCCATCAATTTTCGAGAGCCGTCGAAATACCGACATCCTTTATTTTCGCGTTAGAGGAATTTCTTAAAAAAAAAAAAAACAAGAAACGATTGCAGTTATAATACGCGGCGGATTAGAGTGTTTATACTACTATTTATTTGACATTAAGGCGTAGCAAATAAATTGTCACATACTACGGTTAAGGAGCAGAGATGTGATCTTTTTGAAATACAGTGTAAACTCTATATAACGACACTTAAGAGAATGAACATTTTTTGGCGTTATAAAGAGTGGTCATTAAATGAAGAGAAATAAAAGATATTATTTTACTATTCTATAATAATATGCATTTACCAATATAGTACACATTTTGCACACGAACATGATGTAATAATGGTACCAACCGTTTAGAAAAAGTTAATTAGAAGTTTTACTCAAACCTTTGAACACTAATTTCTTCAATATTATTTTGTTATTTCTATTCCAAAACCTTCTTTTAGCATTTAAAGTTTAAAATGCAATCCTTTTCATAAAAGCGAGAATATTTACGTGGGTAGTAATTACATTTAGTTGTTTACCCTTGACCTGATGGTAGTAGATGGTATTCTATTTGTGGAGCGTTATTTTTATTGTTTTGTCTTGAATGTTATGAAAGGAAGCACGTAAGTTATGGGGAGCCTTCAGTGATCTCCATGGAATTTCGGGGTTCCGCGAAGTAAAGTTTATCAAAGACTGCCTTATTAAAAAATATTGCTCTGAGAATATTGTAGTATAGCATGAAGACATGGTAGGAGGCACCGTTACACTTTTTGGTGCCCAGAAAGTGGAATTTTCGCGCAATTTAAAATTTTTGCTCTAACGTGATCGGGGATATCATTACGTTTATGGCAGCCATGGCAGAATCCAGGGCTTACTATGACCTAGCTAAGGAGATACAATCTCATAAAAACACACGCTCCCTCAAAATTACTTAAATTATTAGGGAGTTAGTTTGCTTGTGTAGGTAGGCAAGTTGTTTCTCTTTGGATCAAGATTTGAAGAAGTAGAGGTGCGAATCTAAGTAAAATATTATGGTGACACCATTTTACACCGGCTTTTTATCAGGTAATAATTTTAATGGTACCTACTATTTCGTCCCAACTACATACATATGTATAGAAGTATTAGCCGATGTGTAGTTCACGATAACATCGCTGAAATTGGCTTCAAAAAATAATATACTTTTGCTATGGGGCTAAGGTTATGGTAGGAAAAGACAACACGAACGAAGTTCACCCCTACTCACTTCGTTAGTGTTGTCACGGTCATGTTTTTCCTTTCATTTGATAGTCACAATTGAATGTATATAACATTCAGTACACAGGGTGGTCTAAAAGTTTGGAGACGGCTGAATAACTTTTGATTACCTGTTAATAGGAAAACGAAATTTTGGGAATGATCCATAACTAAAAAAAAAAGTGATTGGAATTTTGATCCCCCTCTANTAAAGAAACTATGGATTCCATTTCTTTCTCTTATTACAATGTGTAAAAGATCGGAAACAAAATTGGGTTGTATATATTTTGATATAAAATGATTGATGTTGATTTTACATTAATAAAATTTGGTCGGGTATCAGACAATGGTGCCGGGTAATTCTACCAAAGGGAATAAAGAAAAAACATCAGTAATAATAATTTAATGTGTTACAAAAAAACCTACTTAATAAAATTGATAATTAAAATTGTATTGTGAGTGGTCGTGTGTCTTAATTTGTATTATTTATTGGAAATTTGATCGCGGATCTTAGGTAAATATTTAATTCTTTTTCAATGCTTATGAGTTATCATAAAAGATGAAGAATTACATTAAATTATTCTGACAACGAAATAGAAAATAAATAAATAAAACGATTTGAAAGCTGCTTGTTTCCCAAAGATCTAGATAAGGATGAGGCGTTGAAATAAATGTTTTATATTCAGTTTTGCTGCGTCCCGATGTAAAAACCGGCGCAAGGTCGGCAAGGAAGTTACAAAGTCGACTATTAAGAAGATGTCAGTTGGTATTTAACAAAAACTGAAACATATTAGTTAGCTGTGTTCGCCTACACAAACAGAGTTATCAACGATCTGCAGCTAGTCATCTTCCAGATTTGAATCGGAAACAGGTAAAAGGCGGGCTCGTCGAGACCATCACTCATTCCGAAAGTGACAATTTTCGACCAGCGGAGCCGAAATTTTAACGTTTACCGCTTAAGACGAAACCCAGTGACCATGTCCGAATGACTAATGAGCTGTTAGAACAGTACAACGACCAAAAGCCCCCCTACGAAATAAAAACATTCAATCGAAATTAATCGCGCGAATAGGGGTAACTACGTCGAATCGTTTAGAAACATACCCCGACGTATTAGGCAATTAATCTGACGATGCGATGAGAGTATTAACCGAAATATTCAACAAAGTATTTTTATAACATACGGCAGGCATTGAAATAAACAGATAGGGTTATCAACTCTCCATTTTTAGTGCGGAGACTCCAGAAAAACTAAGTTTCCTCCAGACTCTAGTTTATAAAAAATATATAANTAAGCATACTAATCTTTTGCCCTTGCACATCTATCCCTACAGTTGTACTGTCTTTAATGATGTTGATGGCGTCTTCGATGTATAGATTAAAAAGTAGCGGTGACAGTGTGCATCCCTGCCTGACTCCCTTCCTAATATTTACTTCTCTACGTTGCATCCCCAGCTCTATAAAAAGCCAAACCAATAGCAGTTTTATTAAACTTAAATGATCTAGTGATGAACAAAATTGATATTGGTCTAAAAAAAAGATTGTGCTTAAAACAATAATTAAAGTTAAGAAAATGTAAGTATCAGATTAAATGAACATGACTAAGACTTAACACGTAAGACAAAGACCAAAACCGAAACTATTTGAGCAAGACTAAGACCCAATACTAAGACTAGGAGAGTCTTGGTCTTGGCCTTCGTCTTGCCTTACTCTTCACTAAACTGATTCAAATGGCGAGTTAAACAAAAAATAATAGAATAGGGAATTCTGTTAATTACCTTATAATTGGAGTTACTATTTTAGAGACATTAGTCAACAAAGATTTTTTGATTAATTGCTTGAAAATTTCGAACTTTGTTATGAAACAAAGTAGTGCAGATATCAAGCAATTTTAACATTTAAGGGAAGTAGATTTGATAAATTATCTTTATTATTAATTATTGATTTAGAAAACATTAGATTAGAAATGGAAAATCAACTCAATCAACTTAATTACCCATTACCTATCATTAAACTACCGTTACAATTTAAATATTTAATTTGCAAACTATTAATTCGTTGATTTGCGATTGTAGGAAGACATTTAGAATCAATAATGAGTATAAGAGAAATTAAACAATTTTTATAATAAGTTACAATTTCCTCAACCCATTTGGAAAAGTGATTTGAATCATGTTATCCCATAATCTTAGCATTATTTTGTTATTTTATTCCAATCGTCCTGAAAAATTTACTTCATAAAGTAAATCTTCATTCTTACTATAATGTCTAAGTTTAGTATCCATATTTCATACATATGTTTTTTAATGGTAAAATCGGCCGTTATTTCCGGTAGTTGCGGTAACCATAAACTTGCTTATTACACTAGCCATTTTAACATCCGCTTTAATAAAATGGTGCCATGTATAACTGCTGATGTACTAACTTACGAAGTATCTAGAATCTAACAATATATTGTGATTAGTTTCAGCAACTATTTAAATTATATAAATTTAAGAAAAGGTACTAGCCTTTTACCAAATTCGACTTAATTATTTGAAATTAGTAAACGAGGGTAGGTACCCGATAAAGGTAAATTTAATTAAAATTACTAACTAAGACTTATTTATGAGATAATGCATTGCAAATGAATTTGAAGCTTAATAGTTTGGAAACTTCAAAATGAAAATTGGTAATGAAACCTTTAATTCACGTATTATAATGTTCCGGGGATACCAATCTTCGCATTCGCTTAAAACTAAAACATCCCTCATTCCTAACTATTTAGGGACATTAAAGTAGATCTACTTCACCCCCTCTTTACTTCTGTTTCTTCCTCTAATATATCTATAACTAGTCCTTTATTCTATCTTTTATAGTTTCCCTTATTACCTTCTATTGTATCCTTTGTTCTCCTACTTAAGTACTTAAATTTCTTTATTGGGCCCATGTATAGATAGATACATAGTAATACATACTTGTTTATTTAAACATTGTTTTTTATTTTGCATTTAAATAATATTACACTATTGACCATCAGGGTACGAACTCGCCCTGATTAGCTAATAGTTCTTTACTTTACACGGAGAAAATGAAAAAGGAATATTTGATTAAATATTAAAGCGATATTTACAATGTATCCCATTAGTCCGCTGCTTCGTAAGCGAAAATAAAAAAAATTATAATTTGTACTCGAATTTGTAAAAATAAAATCCCAGCAGAAATAAATTTACTAGGTATTTTGCTTGATATTACAAATTAAATTGTAATAATTAAAAAACTTGACATAATTTTTAAAAGAGCATGTCAAATATGAGATTATTATAAGTCACCTAATAAATTCTACGGCAAATCCAGTCATTTACAATCGAAAATTGTAATTTTGCTTTGCCATAAAATTTCGTTTTTTCCATGTAACGTACAGTATTTGTAAACGGTTCATTAATTTCAATTAAAATAAATAATTAACTGCATAATTAATATTTCCATCTTCCATAAAATGCTTTCAACTTATAACAGTGATATGATATAAGAGATGATTGTAAGATGATAATAGGTAACAATATTGTCTGTTAATTAATCCAAGTGTCAGTAAAGCGGTGATTGATTAAAATACAGTTGATTAAGACATAATTTCCTAATTAATCGTAGATAATAACTAAAAAACTCATGACTGCAACAAATTCTCTCCATTAACTATTAACATTTGTAGACTTGCAATTACTGAAAACAAGAAAGAAGTTTTCGTTTTTATTTTCCCCGAAACATCTACAACAAATATATAAAAAAATAAATTAAACATAATTTGTTCATGACAATTAGCCCCTATAATACTTGAGACAGTTAGAACTCTATTGAAGAGTATTTAATAGCTTCCTTTAGTGTTTTAATTAGTATTTCATTTCCTTGCAGTTGGCACACAATGCACATGATTAATATTTACGTACTACGTATGCATATGTGCTTGATAAATTATAACTATGCGATAAAAAAATCCTTTGTCAATCCTTCGGAGTGCGAATCTTATAAGCTATTAGAAAGTAAAGTCAGCAGAATGTGTGACATGAATGATGTACGGCTGGCGCTAATTGATCTGGTAACTGCAGCGTTGTATGTTTGTCAATATAGGTAATCAGCCTCCGGTTATTTGCAAATATGTCTAACGATAAGTCGTTCGTTGTGCCACTGTACTGGTCCCTTGTATCCGTTAGATTATTTAGTTGCAGCAAGAAAATGTGTGAAGACATGCATCTAATGACATGTGCAATTATGTTCAACGATGCCATCAAAAGTTACTCATCAATTTTAGCATACTTATGCACATACGCCTCTGCATGAAGACTACTCTCCAAGTATCAGTTTAACATCCGACGAACCAGCACAAAGTTTCTTTTCCTTTAAGAAAATTCCTCTCCATTATGAGAAAAATGAGTGATTTTGGGTTTTGCGGCTTACTGGGCTTCCTCTTTGTGTCGTATTGCTCATCATCGCCAAAAAAAGTTAACAACAAGCTCATTATCGATTTCGAATGGTCCTTTATCAACTTCACGTGGCCGTCTGCTGAAGACTATCACAAATCGTTATTCGCCAAACGATACATTCCAGAAAATAATATGATTTCCAATGTAAAAATCTACGATGGATTCATGTACCTGTCGTTGCCAAGGATGAAAAATGGGACTCCAGTTACGTTAGCTTACATACCAATTACGAACAGAAGCGACAAACAGGAAGAACTGCTCGTTCCTTATCCAAACTGGGACATGAACGTGAAAATTGGTAACTGCACCACCTTACAAAACGTTCGCGGTATCGAAATAGACAAATTCGGTGTTATGTGGGTGCTGGATGGTGTAAGAGTGAACGACCTGACTGATTGTCCTTCGAAACTCGTCTTGTTAGATCTTAACAATTTCGGTTCTGTAATGGACTCCTTCGAATTTCCAGAATCAATATGCCCAAAGAAAGGTTGCTTCTTGTACAGCCTTGTAGTGGATGATCGCGATGGCGGATACGCGTACATAACGGATCACAGTTTGATAGACCCAGGAATTATAGTTTACTCCAGACACAAGAATCGTGCATGGAAATTGAGAGATCGATCCATGTTTTCTGAAGTAAAAGACAACTTAATTGTCGATGATGTAACTGTTACTAACATGGCTCCAGTTGCTGGGATCGCATTATCTCCAACTCCTCGCTTTGCCAAACAAGATAAGTCCGTGTATTATTCTTCTTTATCCGGTTATAATATCTATTCGTTAAGTGCTAAAATTCTGATGAACGAAGATTATTGTAAAAGTGGAAAATGGAGGCAAGACGTTACCCTGGTGGGGAAGAAAGAGAGTCAAGGTGATGGAATGATTATGGACCATAAAGGAAATTTGTTTCTTTCCTATCTTGCCAAACACAGTATTTGTAAGTGGAATACGAAAAAAAAGTTGAACGACGACATAAATGTTGTCGCTAAAGACGCCAATATGCTAAGTTGGCCGGACGGTTTTAGTTTTGACTCTGACGGAAACTTGTATGTGGCTGTGGTAGGTGGAAATAAATATTATTCCGCTTCAAATTATATCGGTACTAAATATAAAATATTAAAATTACGTACAAGAACTAAAAGTTACATTTACTCGTAGAATTACGGAAAATGTTAAGAGACAAGGAAAATAAAAACTTTATGCATTATGTTATTATTATAATGTCGGTTATTATGTAGGTTGTCTGAAAATTTTTCGAAAAATTACAATTTTCAATTGAATACATTTTCCTACATTTTCTCCCACAATTATTTTATTTTAAATTCTACAGGGGGGTAGAGGGATTCAAGCAATCATAAGTTAAAGGCACCAAAATGTTTGTACCTTTCACTAGACAACAAATTTTCTGATGAAGTAATTCATCTATACATCTATTTGTCTATACATTCGAAGTAACTGCCTTTTTAAGTTCTGGATTCTGTCTGCCTGTAATCTGCAAAACAGATAAGCTGATTTCGTGGAGACTTTTTGAAGAGGAAGTTGCCAGGACTGATCTGGGATAGGTACTCTTTTTTAAATCATTTATTTAATCCTTATAGCCATTATTATAAACGACTACACAGCTAGTTTAAAAATAAAGAAAAAAAAAAAGCTTTTCTGCAGTATGAAGAATAAAAATACTTAAGGAAGTTGTTTCACGACATTACTAGTAAAAAGTTTATGCTAGAGTGTATCGTACAGTCCCAGCCAATCCCATACCGCTCTTCATTCGTGTATCCCTTCTACTACTTGAGTACGATAAATTGTTCGTTATTTATTAATTAATATCTCAGAAACTGTGTTGTATTAATTAATCAAACTTTCTTCAAAGAAGTTATTAGGCATTGTTTAATCTTTCTGTAGTTTTTTAAAACATTTGTAAAAAGGGATTCCAAGTTAACATTGTATTTCTAGTTAGCCTCGCCGGTATCCTATATAGTACAATGTATAAGAGCCGCAAAAACACGAACTTTGAAATTAAATATCTCTGAAACTATATTGTCCAATAATTTCAGTCTGCACATATAGGTGAAGAATAACTTAAATAATATTCTGTCAAAATTTCAAAAGAATCCTAAGAAAACGCTTTTAATGGAACAACTACCTTAACTACTAACTCAACGTTACACTACTTAACCAGATTCTAGACACTTACTTGGGGACATTCTTATAGTGACTCCAATGTTACCACTGCTGTTTTTGTAATTTATGTAAGTATTTAGAATAAAATTTGCAAACTGCTGTTAAATGTTTTTAATAACATTTCAATGCATATACCTACTAGTAAAAGATTCAACCTGTACCAATATGTACATTAAGTATTTTAAAATCAAGGTCAACTTTGAAAGTCCTATTTTTTTTACGTTTCTTGTTACTCATTTCATTCGCAAAGCGCCCATTAATATGGAATGAACATAATACACAAACCTGTTTACTTAACTGAATTGCACGCGAAAGTGCGACCATTTGTTAGTACGATTTTTATCTGATACGATGTGTCACGTTTGTATTATATCGGTAATTTTGTTAGTGAGTTTGGATCTTACGTACAGTTCTCAACAAAAATTAGAAATACAGTTCGAATGGAGTTTCATAAATTTCACGTGGCCTTCTTCAGAGATCTACAACCAAGCAATTTCCACGAGGACTTATATTCCTGAAAACAATTGCCTGGCAGGTCTCAAAATTTTTGACAAAACAATGTATGTGTCGTTACCAAGGAGTCGCCCTGGTACACCTGTAACATTAGCCACCATATTTGCAGAGGACCACAGTGCCAAAATTAACCCCATTCTAAAACCATACCCGAATTGGGAGATGAATCAATTGGGTAACTGCACTGCTCTTCAAAACGTTCAAAGCATGGAAATTGACCCTGATGGTGTAATGTGGATTTTGGACGGAACTAGGGTGTTTCAGAAGTCGAAGTGTCCACCAAAAATAGTTCTTTTGGATTTAAAAAACAACGGAAAAGTAGTGTACAGTATCGAAATCTCGGAAAAGTTATGTCCGCAGGATGAATGTTTTTTGAATGACATTGTAGTAGATGGAGATTATGCTTTCATATCGGAACATAGTCAAACTGATCCAGGAATCGTAGTTTTCAATCGGAAACAAAACAAACTGTGGAAAGCGAGGGACAAGTCGATGTTTGCGGAAATCTCTTCACCAACGTTCAGTGTTGGCGGAAAAGAATTCAATAAACTGGGCAATGTCGATGGAATTGCTTTATCACCTACGGCAGACGATAAACTGATTTATTACTGTGCGTTGACAGCTCTTAATCAGTATGCAATCAAAGCGAGTGTGTTAAAAGACGAAGAACTACTCAAAGGAAACGATTGGCGTAGAGAGGTAAAAACCATAGGCAAGAAACCAGCGCTAAGTGACGGACTAATAGCAGACAATGAAGGAAATTTATATTTTACATTCATAAACGATCAAGCAATTGGGAAATGGAATACAAGTCTTCCTCTCAACAATGACACAATCGAAATATACAAAGATGAAAAGATGTTATGGCCAGATACGTTCGCGTTTGACGACACAGGCCATTTGTTTGTTACTGCAACGCAAGTGCACAAATATTTCGATCCTGACTATAACATCGAAATGAATGACGAAATTAAAATTAGAATTTTTAAATTGCAGACTAACAGCAAAAGTTATTTGTATCACTAATGGCTTTTGCTAATTTTTGATGTAGAGGTTGTTGTTTTAATGCTATTACTAACAGAAAATAAATAAATAAAACGATTTGAAAGCTGCTTGTTTCCCAAAGATCTAGATAAGGATGAGGCGTTGAAATAAATGTTTTATATTCAGTTTTGCTGCGTCCCGATGTAAAAACCGGCGCAAGGTCGGCAAGGAAGTTACAAAGTCGACTATTAAGAAGATGTCAGTTGGTATTTAACAAAAACTGAAACATATTAGTTAGCTGTGTTCGCCTACACAAACAGAGTTATCAACGATCTGCAGCTAGTCATCTTCNACGGAACTAGGGCGTTTCAGAAGTCGAAGTGTCCACCAAAAATAGTTCTTTTGGATTTAAAAAAGAACGGAAAATTGATGTACATTATCGAAGTCTCGGAAAAATTATGTCATGTTTTTTGAATGATATTGTAGTAAATGGAGATTATACCAGAACAAAGCTAAACTGATCCAGGAATCGTAGTTTTCAAATTATTTTTCAAGTCTCTTAATTTAAAATCAATCAGGACAGAATTTTCGGAAACAAAATTCGATATCATTTTGACTGGCCAACATCCGCCTTACATTAGGTACATAATCAGAAAGACATTACAATTCAATACTGCGCGTTAATGTAATTTCTGTTTTAGAATTCTCTGTGTATCTAGCATTTATGCTTAAATCTTCATTATCTAAATTCATTTGTAATAAATTATATTATCAGTAATTCCTTTTATCATATTTCTTCTGAATATAATATAAACGTTGTAATTTATTGAAGGTTCTGAAATTCGTAGCCAGAAATTGCATCAAACAGATAATACTCATCGTAAGTACTACTGCTATCAATAATTCCTAAATGTTTATATTTGCATTGTAAATATTTCCAACATCCACAAAATTTCTTGACAATTTGCTATTACTCCTTTGGAAATGTACTCCCGGCTGTCAAGAAGTTTGCACAATCGAATTTTGATAAAACATAAGGTACCTTTCAGAAAATACTACAAACGGCACAGTGAACGCCATCTGTAGCACGATGCTACATTTTAGGATTACGTATTTTTCAACAAGGTCCACTTGTACCTAATAACAAAAAGTTTAATTTTTTTTTACACACGTATACCATTTTCTAAGAAATATTATTTTGAGTTATTTACTTTGTTTTGTTATTATTTTATCTAAAATATTATAGATAATATGCACGACAATTAATTAAAGTGGCGTTTTTTAAGTTAAAATTAACAAAAAAACGCGATATAGATATGCTTTTAAAGTTCCTCTATTGTTTTCTTTTTTTTACTTTTTTCTTACTTTTTATTTTTGACAACAATTTACTGATTAATTCAAGGTCTTTGTCCGCTTTTACGAAGAAGTACCAGTTAAATAATGTTTTGACAAGATTTATTTAAAACCTAAACAATCAAGCTCCAAAGTATCATATTACAAGTATAGATATAATAAAATTTGGTTAGTTCTAGAGAAATTTATTTTGCTTCCATTATACTGTATATGTTTATTATTGTTATATTATCTTACTATTCATAACAATTGTTATAACAGGGGCAATTTAAAAATTTTTTGTTACGATAGAAAGTCATTCTCATTACTATTTTTAATCACAAGAAATCGTTTATAAGGGGGTGGGATAGCTTTTTGTGGCATCATCATCATAAGGTCATCAGTCCTAAGACTGGTTGGACACGTACCTCCACTCTTTTCTATCCTGAGCTAATCTTCGCATTTCCCTAAAACTAGAACAGCCCACATCCTTAACTATTTGCGAAGAGTAACCTAATCTAGGTCTACCTCTACCCCTCCTAACTCCTGTTTCTGCCTCTAATATGTCTCTGACTAGACCTTCGTGCCTGAGAAGGTGTCCTACCAACCTATTTCGCCTATTTTTTACTGACTTCCATAGAGTCCTCTGTTCTCCTATTTATTTATTTATTAAAGGGGTCGCTGGAGGGGTCCGAACAAGTGAAACTCTGAGTGACGTATTTTTTGGACAACCCCTACATACACATTTGAAAGGTAAAGTAGTTAGTGCATCATGACATCAAAACTCTATTTCACATATAATACAACTCAAAATAAAAAACAGTTTTATTTACCTTCTTTCCAAGCAAATATTACATGTTTATTTTTTTTTTACTGTAAAGCAATTATAATTAATTATCTATAATCCTAATCTTCACGTTGTCCTTTTTAGCGTCGATCCGGGAGTAATAATTTCCTGTTCCTTGTTAATGGCAGCTTCCTTTTTTGATGTAGCCTCTTCTCTTGTCAGCATCTATATTTGTGTCAATTCTATTTAACTTTTGATTTTCCATTTCAATAAGATGTTTTGCCGCCTGATTTTTTTTTGTCCTTCGCGATTTGCCCAGTTCTATTACTGCAAAAAGCATTGGACCAAGTATTGACCATGATACGTCCCATATATTCTTTGGCAGTCATGAGAAGTTCATGGTATCCGGTGTATTACCAAGACCGAACAGGGCTGATGTAAGGTGATGGTAACAAGGCATAACAGCCCTTTCATTTTACGTATTCTTATAGTTTACAACCCTGCAGCCTAGCGAAAATAAGCTGAAAAGTGAAAATGTCGAAACCGCTGTTTTCCCTGAATAAAATAAGCCATTCATCATTACCATAAGGTCGTCAGTCCAAGGACTAGTTGAACACACACTCCACTATCCTAAGATAATCTTCGCATTTCAGTAAAACTAGAACATCTCACATCCTTAACTATGTGCGAACAGTAATCTAATCTAGGCCTACCTCTACTCCTCTTAACTCCTGTTTCTGCCTTTTATAAAAAACCATTAGGAATTGTTTAAATTAGCAAATATAGTGGACGCTGTTGAAGCTTTTTGTAGTGACGAAGTTAAAAAATAAAGCTCACAAAGCATTTGACTAATATTTATTCATTCGGTGCAAAACTGTTCATTGTCCAAGTGCGCATCCTAACTAGGAGGTGTGCGATGCAAAAGAAACTTGAAAGTTTATCATTAGTAAATCGTATGACTCCCATGATAAGAGCAGCTATAACTATAAATGATACTTAAGTGCCTCATTTCTCATATTTCTTATTTGTCATTACATTCGCAGACAGTCTAAAGTGATCGTATATCACTTTACTTAAAATCAATTTGACTCGAAAAAGTGCGACCTTTTGTCAATACGATTTTTATCAGATATGCGCCACTTATGTATTATATCAACAATTCTGTTAGTGGTTTCGCATCTTACGTACAGTTCTGAAGAAAAATTAGAAATACAATTCGAATGGAGTTTCTTAAATTTCACGTGGCCTTCTTCAGAGATCTACAACCAAGCAATTTCCACGAGGACTTATATTCCTGAAAACAATTGCTTGACAGGTCTCAAAATTTTTGAAAAAACAATGTATGTGTCGTTACCAAGGAGTCGCCCTGGTACACCTGTAACATTAGCCACCATACTTGCAGAGGACCACAGTGCCAAAATTAACCCCATTCTAAAACCATACCCGAATTGGGAGATGAATTAATTGGGTAACTGCACTGCTCTCCAAAACGTTCAAAGCATGCAAATTGACCCTGACGGTGTAATGTGGGTTTTGGACGGAATTAGAGTATTGGAGAAAACAAAGTGTCCACCCAAAATAGTTCTCCTGGATTTAAAAAACAACGGGAAATTGGTGTATAGTATCGAGATCCCGGAAAAATTATGTCCGCAAGATGAATGTTTTTTAAATGACATTGTATTAGATGGCTATTATGCTTTTATATCAGAATACAGCAGTACTGATCCAGGAATCATAGTTTTCAATCGAAAGCAAAACAAATTATGGAAAGCGAGAGACAAGTCGATGTTTGCAGAAACCTCTTCACCAGCGTTCAGTGTTGGCGGAAAAGAATTCAGTAATCTGGGTAACATCGATGGAATTGCATTATCATCCAAAGGAGATGATAAACTGGTTTACTACTGTGCTTTGACAGGTTTTAATCAATATGCCATCAAAGCAAGTGTATTAAAAGATGAAGAACGTCTCAAAGGTAACGATTGGCGAAGAGAGGTGAAAATTATAGGCAAGAAACCAGCGCTAAGTGACGGACTAGGAGCAGACAAGGAGGGAAATTTATATTTTACATTCATAAACGAACAGGCAATTGGGAAATGGAATACAAGTCTTCCTCTCAACAATAACACAATCGAAATATACAAAGATGAAAAGATGTTGTGGCCAGATACGTTCGCGTTTGACGACACAGGCCATTTGTTTGTTACTGCTACGCAAGCGCACAAATATTTCGACACCGATTACAAAATCGAAATGAATGACGAAATTAAAATCAGAATTTTTAAATTACAAAGTAACAGTAAAAGTAATTTATATAGTTAAAGGTTTTTGTTGATTTTTGGTGTATAGGTTGTTGTTTTAAAGCTGTTACCATTTTAATTTTAAAAATACGTTGAGGTACCTGTACGTAGCAAATAAATATATACTGAAAGTAGATAATTGCTTTTTTTACATATAAAAATTAATAAAGAAATAGGTAAATTAGGGTTTATGTGAGTGGGTAGTAGGAGAAAATGGATGAAATGAATGAAATAATCCTGCTTTTGAATAGCACAAACAATTGTACGCGACATTAGAAACAAGCAGCCATTAAAGGTTAAGGGTTAGGGATTAACCATAAACCATATTCGAAATGATTGAATGGCATTGTTATTATAATGTAACACAATAATACCTTGAATAATATTGCTTTTTTTTGTCCTTTTTTATCCCCACTCATCCAGATTGCGTAAAGTCAACTACCCATCCAGGCTGAATATGATTTGCCGGGCCTGTACAGGGGTAATTTAAATTGTGTAGAAATGACATTTTCATTGCCAAATTATTGTACTGAATTCCATCCCAATAATCCCAGCATCTCACACAAAAAAATAGGCTGCAGATCAGTATTTGTGACTCACACACATCAACCAATATGTCAGTGGTAAACAGGGGCGGATTGGGACTATGGAAGGGCCTGGGGATTCTAGGAGTCAAAGGGCCTTTAAGGTCTAAAAAAACAAAAGCTCAACGCTGATTTTTTGTTTATGTATTTGTAAATGAATTAAACTCATACCAGGTGAAGGCTTTAAAAAACTCATGATAACGCAAAAAGTATAAGATCGAGGCCCATGTAAATGAGATAAAACGTAATGTTATCCTGGCTTTAATGTATTTTTTAGGGACTACATCCCCAGCTTGTTTGCTTTCTCACCCATGTGTTAAAGATTATCATTCCTGGGGTTATTGGGTTCAAAAACTTATGTTTAGACATGCAGGGGCCCTGTATCGTGAGGTGGCCCAGGGGAAACTCTCCCAAACTCCCTTATGATCAGTCCGCCCCTGGTGGTAAAGAAGTGCAAAATTTATTTCTTTTAATTTCAATTTTTCAGTATATTTTAGAATAGATTAACTTAGACCAAGTTATGCTGGGTAAAGCTCCCCCAACACGGAAAGCTTTTCCTAATCCCAGTTCTCCCCACCCCTTCCCATGTCCTCTATTATGCCGAAAGATAAGATTCATACTTATTAAAGTAGCTCTAATAGAAAAAAAATGACGACATTTTCGCGTAATAAAACCACCCCTATTAAAAGGCGTTCCACTTAATTTCATGTATGTGACCCCGACCTCTGATGAACGTGCTCGAAAGAATGAACTGCAACCAAAAGCACTTCTTCCATTATTCAGTCGTGTAGATACATTTCAATTTCCAAAGTTAATGTTAATATATGATTGCTATGTTTGATTGACAATTAGCTATTAAAAAATTACGATCATGTCAGTAAAATGTGGTAATGTCAAAGAAATCTAGTTTTTTAGAAAAATGTTGCGTACCATTATCACCAATATCCACTCCTTCTTTCATAGATTCAGGAAGTGAAATCAGTATCCCATTTTCATTCAGGTGAAAAACATTAATTTGGTGCTTGTTTATGTAAAAAAAAGGTGGATAATTTCAGATCACCAAAACATAGTGCTGAAAATAATGGAGAATTAATCTTGAAACCAGAACGAAAGAAATCCGTTGAATATAAAGGTAACATTGAAGGAGGAATGTGAAGTTTACGACATCCTCTCTGAAAATGGCTCTGCATTCCGCAATCTATTATACATTCATATTGATACCAATCTTTTTTTTATATGTATCTGAAAATTTGTTTATTTATTTGTTACTTATTTTTTATTCTCCTATGGTTCGTTCACTTATTTCGACTTTTGACATATATTATGGCACTATTGCAATATTCGGAACAACTTCAAGGGGGGGGGGGGTGTCGTAAACTGTTATCTATTTTAAATTATCATACATAAGTCAATTGTTTAAAAAAAATTGCAATTGTTAGTTTTATTATCTTCAGTTCTCTGTTGCTTTGTAGAATGCAAGAGAAGCAGAAATAGTCACGAATCATTAAAAACTCTTTCTTCAAAAATGTTCACCCAAAATTGTAAAAACACAATACACCACAGTCTTCCATGTCTTCCTGACGATAGCAGCTGCTCTTACCGCATTAACTATTGGTTGAACAAGGGTTCCGCTTCTTTACGAAGTAGTGGGTATCACATTCACTTAAGTATTAAAATTAATGCATATTATAGATTTTAAAAATAATTATTCACATGTTTTCATTTAAAATCAATCATGACGGGATGTTTGAAAACAAAATTCGAATTTATTTTGGCCCCCAACGGTGGTGAAAGTAACATAACATAACTTTCTTAACATTAGGTACTACATAATCAAAAAGACATTAAAATTCAATACTGCGCATTAATGTTAAATCCATGATTTTTACTTAAATCTTTATTGTCTAAATTTATTTGTCATAAATTATATTATCACTCGTTCTTTTTATCATATTTCCTCTGAATTTAATTTAAACTTTTTAATTGATTGAAGGTTCTGAAATTCCTAGCCAGAAATTGCATCAAAAAGAGAGTGGTCGTCGTAAGTAGTATTATCAGTGATTCCTACATGTCATTTAAATGCTTTTAAAATAGTTCCAGCATCCACAAAATTTCTTGACTGTTTGCTAATGTGTCTTTGGAAATGTACCCCCGGATGTCAAGAAGTTAGCACAACCGAATTTTGAGAAAATATGTAGGCACCCTTAACAACAAAAAGTTTTATTTTATTTGTACATACATCTACCATTTTCTAAAAAATATTCTTTTGAATTATTTACTTAATTACTATATTGTTATCATTTTATCTAAAATATAGCAGATAATATGCGCGATAATTAATAAGTGGCTTTTTTTTGCTAAAATTAACTGAAAAAGAGATGTAGACGCACTTTTCTTTTTTAAAGTAAATAAATTTCTGTATTGTTTTTTTTTTAATTACTGGTAAGCACGTCAATTTTCATTTATTTGAAATTTGATTAGTTTACAGTAATAGATTATCATAAGGAACGTGCGTACGTGTAACGGTTATTCACACTAATTTTTTGTTACATCTTAGTTTCATTTACTAATTAATTTAAGGACTCTATTTGCTTTTATGAAAAATTACCAAAACATTCGAACATCATGGTATCATTTTATTCTGCTTCCTTTTTATTGTATTCTGTTATTGTTATATTATCTTATTATTCATAATGAAATACTATATCAGGGACTGCGGGGGGCGACTCCAATGGTCCCCCCTCTCTATTCTCCTCTTCTCCGGCAAATTTATTGCAGTTATAAGGCAAAAGAAACATTCAAATGCGTCAAAAATGAAAATATTTTTATATGAACTAATATAACAGTTATACCTTTTGATATAATAGTACTGTTTTATTACCAACCTCCAGCAGCAACTTTTTTTATCCGGGAATACTTTTTTCTTCTTTGTACATTAAGGAAGGGGCCGTCTATAAAATAGTCCGTAAATAAAGGGAAAGAAGGGGTAGTGCTTAGCATGACAATACATGACAAGGGATGAGGAGGGATCCAAGAAAATGTGACGTTCTCAGTTCAGCAATTTTATTGTAATTTTTTTCTTAGCTTGGCAATTCTTAAAATATTTCATTACGATAGAAAATCATTCCTATTGATAGTTTTAATAACAAGAAATCATTTATAGGGGTCTGGGCCATTTTGTGACGTAATATTTGTTAGGTAGGTCGCTTAATATGACGAAAGGGGAGGGAGGAATCCAAAAAGGTGAAATTCTGAGTGACGTATATTATGAACGACTCCTAAAATAAATTGGTAATGTAATGTCTATTTAGTTGCAATTATGAACAATTTTAGTTTAATAATGAAAAAAAACTAACCGTTTAGTAACTTATTAAGGGCACCCTGAAATTACAGATACATACAAGGGCCAGCACATTTTAAATCGAAGTGCAATAAAACTCGAAATAAAAAAAGAAAGTTTATTTATCTCATTTCCAGATAAATATTATTATTATGGAGTAATTATAATTAATTATCTATAAACCTAATCTTGACGGTGTCCTTCTCGGCGTTGATCCAGGAGTAATAATTTCTTGTCCTTTGTTCATGGCAGCTTCCTTCTTTTCAGCGGCCTCTTTTCTCGCCAGCATTTCTTTTTGAGCTAATTGCATTTGATTTTCCANAAAATAAAAAACAGTTTTATTTACCTTCTTTCCAAGCAAATATTACATGTTTATTTTTTTTTTACTGTAAAGCAATTATAATTAATTATCTATAAACCTAATCTTGACGGTGTCCTTCTCGGCGTTGATCCAGGAGTAATAATTTCTTGTCCTTTGTTCATGGCAGCTTCCTTCTTTTCAGCGGCCTCTTTTCTCGCCAGCATTTCTTTTTGAGCTAATTGCATTTGATTTTCCATTTCAATAAGATGTTCTGCCGCCTGTTTTTTCTTTGCTCTTCCCGATTTGCCCGTTTCCTTAACCGAAAAAAACATAGGACCAAGTTCTGCAAGCCAATGACCATCCACTGACGTGACACATTGCATATATTCTCTAGCGGTCATGACAAGCTCATGATACACTACGTAATCCGGTGTATTACCAAGACCGAATAGGGCTGAAGTAGGGTGCAGATGACAAGGCATACCAGTCCTTAAGTTCACGTATTCTCCTATGCCTTTTAACCTTGCAGCCTGGTGAAAATAAGCTGAAAAATAAAAATGTAGAAATCACATTACAAGCTATTAATAGAACAACAACACTTCTTATCTAAATGTTATTTGTTTTTGTGCTCTCTTTACGTTGATACGAATCAAAATATTTTATAAACAATAACATCAAATAACAAACTGTGTGCCTAGTATTTCTACAAAACTTCATAGTACTAATATGCATATAATATCACACATACTTTTCAGATTATTCCATTATCTATTTAACTTAAATGAAGAACACACTTACCGGAACAAATACATTTTCTCACTATATCCCAGTCTGTCCCGCAGGAAATTATTTCCAATTTTTGCTGTACAACTATGTCTTTTAACTGTTGTCGAACTTCTCTTACTTTTCTCATTGCTTTGATATGAATGAAATGCTCATTACACCATGTTGACGAATAACTTAAAATAATAATAATTATTATTAATTAATTTGAATAGGGTATTATTTGAATTAAGTAAAAGGAAATAAATGAATGAAAAAAAAAACAGATTATACTGAACTTTCCCTTACTTATTTTGTTTCCATTGATTGTAAACATTTAAGTATGTTAAATGATCACTTTCAGGTACTTGAAACTTTTCCCTGACACTATCTGCCTCCTCCTCTCTTCCTTTAGGACGATAAAAAATTGACGGAACAGATAGCATTGAAACTAAAACAAATCAAAATCAATTATTCGTAAATATTTGAAATTACTAAATATTTTCAATCACTTACCAATTGTAAGAATTTCTTCTGTACAACCCATTTGGCTAGAAACAATTAGCATTTGACACTGGGGTGGATCCAGTGGGAATTCTGCCATTTGTCTCCCTAATTTCGTTAGTATTCCCGTGTTGTCTAACGCTCCCAAAATCCACAACTGATACAACGAATTTAATATATTGTCCTATAAAAACACAACCAATATAATTAACTGTAAAATATTTTACTTTTTAAAATAAATGCTTTACCTGAGGTGGAGGATCCATAAAGTGAAACTGAAGTAGGTCTTCAACCCCCAGAGATTTTAGTAAAAGGACCGTATTAGCCAAATTCGTCCTCTGAATTTCAGGGACATTTGTAACCAACAGTTCTTCCTTATATTGTCTCTCTGTATATAAACGAAAAGCCTGTCCCGGTCCTGTTCTCCCAGCTCTACCAGATCTTTGATTTGCATTTGCTTGACTAATGGGATAAATCTTTAAAAAACATAATTGTATTATAAAAACGGAACACAAATAACCATTTCAAGATTAATTTATATTCCTTTTTGTATACAGATTTTTATCTGAAATAATAGAAGGTAACTTACTTGTAAAGCGTCCATACCTATTCGAGGGTTGTAGACCTTTAGTTTGCAATAGCCTGAATCTATCACAAAAATAATTCCATCAACGGTTAAAGATGTTTCGGCAATGTTTGTCGCCACCACGCATTTCCTAATCCCTTCGGGAGACCTTTGAAAAATTTTTGCTTGCAAATCTGATGGCAATTGTGAATAAATTGGTAAAATCGACAACTCAGGTGAATTATCGATTTCTGCTAGACGTTCCGCTATCACCTAAATAATTATTATACGCATAAAAAAAATGGAAGATAATTTTTATCTGACCAGCCACATGACGAATAGTTATGACAACTACAATTAACTGCTTTAAGTATAATTAAAAAAAAAAAATAGTAAAGTGCGGCATTTAGTAAAATTGGTTTACGTATCTTAAGTGTTTAATATATGTATTTTTTGTTTGTTTTTAAACTGAAACCTTTAAGCAGCAGTTAATTTCAGTTTAACACCTAATTTAATGTGTACTTATATGGAACATAGATAGCGTAAAACTATTTGAAAATTGTTTTTTGTAATTATCTCATTTGTTATCAAAAACTTAGTTTAAATGGTCCTGTTTGTGAACATACATATTAGTAGTAACGGTTATTAACAAAAAAAAAACACATCAAATGTCAATTTTTTACGATGAGAACATTAATCATTAAAAATTGGAATATATTATGGGTGCAAGGTCTTATATTTACTACATACACTAATCGTAAAAAGTAACAAAAACTGAATTTGTACGGTTCTTTGATCCCACGATATATTTAAACGATTGCAACGTGCACGTATCAGTATACAAACATGGAAATTCATACAAACAAAAAAGACAGAGAAAACAACGAACGAAAAAATAGGTCAATGTATTTATTTTTGTTTTTATCATTGAACTGAGAAATATTTAAATAAGTAAGTAATCTATACATATATGTACTATATTTATAGTATACATATTTCATAACGACCTAAATAATAATTCGTTTGTTTAAATTTGAAAAGATTAACATTTATTAACTCATACCACATGGAAATAAACTGGTCGTATAGAATATCTTATGAACGAACCTAAAGTCTAAAGTACATACCTCACACGTTACTTCGATATCTTCCTGTCCAGGCATAAATATCAAAATGTCTCCAGAAGGGGGCTGAAGATGTATTTGTAAAGCCTGCTTTACAGCGGCATCCACATAATCTTCGACAGGGTTTTTACTAAACAATACTTCTACGGGAAATGTTCTCCCGGGTATTGTAAAGGTAGGAACGTTACCAAAAAATAAAGAAAATTTACTGGAGTCCATCGTCGCTGATGTGACAATTAGTTTGAGATCATGCCGTTTTGCAACTATCTGGAATCAAATACTTATTTCGCATAGCTATCCCGATATATCGTTGATATGCATGTACATTCCTATTTTTAAATTACCAAAAACTGCATGTCTAAATTTTTGATATTATAAGTCAAAATTTTTAAAAATCCTTAAAACTTTTCAAGCAATTTGATTCATCATCATCATAAAGTCGTCAGTCCTAAGACTGATTGGACACGCACCTCCACTCTTTCCTATCCTGTGCTAATCTTCGCAATTCCCTAAAACTAGAACAACCCACATCCTTAACTATTTGCGAACAGTAATCTAATCTAAGTCTACCTCTACCCCTCCTAACTCCTGTTTCTGTCTCTAATTAATTCAAGAAAAGAAATACCGTTTTTAATCAAACTATTTTAAAATAATTCATTATCCAGTAAAATTAATTAAAGTTTATATTATATAAACTAAACCTAGCGTGAACATCTTTTATTACAATCCTCAAAGTAGTCCAATGAATCACGTTTTTGTAAGTAAGTGGATCGCATACAATACACAACACGTTTTGTGTAAAAACCGTGTAAACGTAACTAATTACCTAGTCAATTGTTTACTGTTCTGTATTTTCATAGAACAAACTTATGTATACCGCGAAATTTAGATACAAGCATGATTAAATAGCAAGGACATTTGCTTCTGTTGCATTTAGCTTCGATATTGCCCCCGTATCTTATCGATATCGTTGAAAACTTTCAATGCACACCTCATATATACCGTATCGTTTCGGAAAGAAACTACGTGCGCTTTGGTAGGTACGAAAGAGAAAGTTTTGCGTTATCGCTCAGCCTTACGAGAAATTTATTGATGGCTATTACATTCAATTGTTTATCTACCTGATAATGTCACGCTAACGCGTACGAAAAAGTGTTTATTTTCGACTCGTTCAATGTTGTATCCAGTTGTATTAGTCGTAAAGCAAAAGAATTGAAAATGATGCATGACTATTTTCACATTGACCTCAGTCCGACTTATAGTAATAGGTTTTTCGAAAGTGCTACGCCAAAATTTTCGGAAAAATCGAAATCGACCACAAGTGTGAAACAATTTTCAACAACGTCTTCTTTTCCAAATAAAAAACAAGTGACGCGTAATTGCAGTTTTGTTGTTGGACAAAAATTGCGCGAATCTAAATGGTTCACCCATGAAGAAGTCAGAATATTTTCGGCAGTTGTAGAAACAGGTTTTATAGTGCAAACGAAAAATGAAAAGGCCCAAATCACATGGGGAATTGCGGCTTGGACACCAGGATATGGTAATAACATGCATTGTTTTCATTTTTTTTTTCTCAATAATAAACTGCTTTCATATTTAAAAAAATGAATTTAGTATTACTCAAAATTAAAAATAAAATGAACACCATGTACTTTATTCATCATCCTGTATATCAGGGGCTTAGTTTTTCATTTTATTGATACTTTGTCTAATCTAATGATACTATGAAACGAAAGCACTTTCCTTAAGATTTTTTAAGCAGGATTTATTTCCATATTTGAAAATTTCCTTACGTATTAACTGCTAAAAGTTATTGTTTGAATTGACTTTACCAAATTGTCTATCACACAAAATGCATTTGCTTATCATATTGTCAATTAAATTGATAATATGTAAGTATTGTTTTTCAATTTCAGAGAAAAGTAAAAACCCGGAATATGTATCGATTTATTTCCTAGTGGAACATAAGGGTTCCTATAAGGTTACTTCCAAAAGCTTGTTAAACTTTTGGCAACCGGGTTCGGTGATAAAAATTAATAATTACAATGACAAAGAGGAAAAAACAAATTGTGAGGAAACCATTAGAAATAAAATCTCTTATGCGATGAAAAATAAACTTAAATGGCACAACACTGAGCATTTCGTGTATTGGTGTCGTTATCTTCAACCAAAAAATGATAGGACAAAACCAGTAAGTAAAATTAATAATAATTTAATGAGAAAACCAAAGAAGCATTTTTTATTATCTATTTTTATTAATTTGTCATTTTTCGAATTAATTTAAATCCCTACTGGGTACCTATTTCTTTTCCGACTTCATTCTATTAAAGTTTCCTTTTCGTTTTGAAAAAAAATCAAACAGATTTTTTCTAAATTAACATTGAATACTTATGAATAAAAGCATTCATTTAAATTGTACAGATGTACAAAAAGAGACTACATAGTTTAAAACTTCATAAAAATCTAATTGTGTTGTTTTAGGCTAGTGATGACTTAAAATGGTTCAGCTCAAAAGTAAACATGGGTTTACTATTGCTAAGGGGAAAAAGAAATAAATCAGCTTCAGAATAAATTACAAACATCAATTAGCATTTGTAAGGGCTGTGATTTATTGTAATAGTGTTTATACAAAGTACTGTTAAAGATGTATGTACGTAAGTCATTCAGGCGATGACCAGGGGTGAAGTCCCCCCTCCTACTCGAAAACTGTTATTATCAATGAAATATTGATGAGAAAAAAGTACGATTAACTAAGTGAGTGCTTGCGTGAGTTACCCTTTATCCCAATAATTTGGGCGACGCTTATACGTAAGTGTAAAAGTTGTTGAGCGAAGCTAACCAAAAATTTTACGATCATCAACTGCAAATTTTTCGTAGTGACCAACGTTATTAAAAATGTTTGAGCCTTGAAGTATTCGCGTTTTTTTTTTATTTATAAATTATCTTACCACTGCATCAGTAATAATAATTCGTTTAATTTAAAGACTGATCATAAAGCAAATGTAATTATTTCAACACACGAAGGACTGTAATTAAGGAAACACGTAAAAGTACTTGCAATAAGCAAATATTGTATTCTAACGATAAGAACAATTTATTATATTTATAACTGTTATGTTATAAAACTCCATAATTAGAATAACTTCATTAATAATTTCTAAACTTATTAGATTATACTTGGCAGTAAGCAAATAATTATGTTTTTATTAATATTTACAGATATGTACCTAACGTTGTAAAAAATTAATAGATACTGATATTTCTTTTTGTTGTTTTTTGGTGACTAATGTTACAATATGTGAGTGTCTATTCCTTTTTCTTGAAGACCTATTCTCTACTTGAGTACTGCTCAGATTTTTCTATTCATAAATGAAAGTATCTACTCGCACTAGTAGGTGCCTATTTAACTTCGCAAAAGAATGGGCTTTATTAGGTTCATATCGGTTTATATGGATAATGTAGATTCAATAAACTGATTGACTGATATATCAACCCACAGAGCAATCCCCTGGGACGAGAAACTTCAAATTTTGCACAGACGTTCCTTACAACAACGTAAGCGAGCACCAGTATTGGACTTTTTAAAATTCAAGGGGGTTCAGAGTTTGATGTATCGAGTATAAAATAAATATATAATTCAATTCCACGTGGAAGAAGTAGCAGAGCAACAGCTATAGTAGATTATTATAAGTTTTATAAACAACGTTATCGCAAAAGCACATGATTACGACAATCTACAGAATTAATAAATAAAAAAAAACATCGATCTGTAATTTAAAAATTTAAATAATTTTTAAAGATAAAGATTAAAAATAAGATAGATAGACTTATGTATATCTTATAATACGTATATCGAAGGCACTTTTTTGCAGATTCTGAAACTATTTATATTTTTACGTTACAATTACTGTTTGCGGCTTTTGATAAAAACACGCGAGTGTCTTCTATAATTGATTGAATTTTAATCACAAACAACGACTCACAGTACCTAACAGTTTTTATTATCTCTTAATTACTACCTAGTTACCAGACGTTACGATTATTAAAAAACACGTTGCTGATTTTAGAAAATTATGAACTCCCCTTGTTCTGAACGAGTAACAACTTCCTTTTTAATAATCCTATTAAAATTCGAGATTAAAACTGAATAATCAAATTATTGATATCGATATAAATGAGAATAAGAAGACTAAACGGTAAAATAAATCTGCAATAACATAAATAAACAATTTTCAAATAGGTAAATGACTATAATGTATAATGCGATTTCGTATTAAATAAATGACTTATACATACGAGGATGATTCAAATAAACAGACCCTCCCCTCCATTGTGAGTAAAATAAGAATATTGTAGACTCCTCCTTGCCCCGAACGAATAACAAGAAGTTCTTTTTTAATATCCCCATTAAAATCCGAGAATACAACTTAAGTACCATAAAATTATTGATATCGGTATAAACGAGCATCCGATGGGATATAACTGATAGTAGGTATAAATGTACAAGACTGAACAATGAGATAAATCTGCAATGATTAAATAACTGATTCCCAAATAAGGGGCCATTCTAGTGTTATACATATAAGATGAGGGGGGGGGTTGCTTTGCTTATTTTTGATGCTCCATGTCATCATGTCGGGGGAGGATCTTGAATATTGACTACATCAGAAATATTTAATTAAAAGCGAAAAGCATGTTCAACGATTCCCCAAAACTGATATTGCTCCCTCACTCTCGCGCGATGTTTTATGGTTAAGAATATTTTTAAATGCAATGCTAATTATTTGCTTGAATAAATATTAAATGGCCATTAAATTCCTTATTTATATTCACGAATAACAATAAAGAAAAGATTTTAAAAAGATACCAGTGATTACGTAAGCATAGGAGAGGGGGCGGGATAAAAGCTTGCTGATAAGGGGGAGGAAGTTAAAACTTAGTAAAATTCTGCTTACCTAATACTTGGCCCCTAGATAAATGGACTGTATAGTATGTACCGCGATTATGTGTTAAATAATTAACTTATACGAGAATTATTCAAATAAATAGACGTAGGAAATTGGTTACATGATTTGAAATTATTATTTTACAGTTCTTAACTTACATAAGATTTATAAGCTCCCCTCCTTCTGATAGCATATAATAAAAGGTTGAAGCCCTCTTCCCCTTAATCCTACTTAAGTAGTGCTTGAATGCCCCCATCTGTTTCTATTCTTTAAGTTGCTTTTGCGAATTAATTAATACTACAGGAACTTATTTAAGTTTGGAAACAAAATGAAAAAGTTTTTTCTCTTACCTCACGTAATAATCCAAACAGGACGTCTGTACTGAGGGATCTTTCGTGAGCTTCGTCCATAATTATGGCACTGTAGTGATCAAGTTCAGCTTCCCTTAAACTCTCCCTTAAAAGAATACCATCCGTCATATATTTTATAACCGTATTTTCTGATGTACAATCCTCGAAACGTATTGCATAACCTACTTCGTCTCCTGTAAAAAAAATCAAACGATACAATACAGTAGACACTTGATAGTTTGAATCAACAAAAGCAACAGATATTTACATTATCGATTTGTTCACGTTAACGAATATTATATAAACTAGTTCTTTTTTTTTGTTTCTGAAGATTTATTTTTCTTTTTTCATAAAGACTTTTTCTCTTAGACTTTTCAAAACTATCACAGTGACTTAAAAAGCGCGTGTAACTCTATCTAATGAAACACACATATACACAACTAACAACGAACTGTTTTAAAGTGATACCAATAAATCAACATTTCTGCAACTAGTAAGACTGGGGAAGTACCGAATATATAGGGGATTTACAGCAATGGCACAATATCAACGGCGAAATATACATTTTTATAGACTATGAACATTTATTTTTATGAACGAGCGAAGATTTATTTTTAGTTAGTATTTTAGATTTTTCAGCCTACAATTGCAAGTGATAATATATTTTGACGTTATTGTTTCCCTTTGGGGCTAATGTAATAAATTCTTTTTAACAATGTAACAATTTGTCGCATATACGTAATTACCTAACTGAGTTCCCATTTCATCACTGACACGTTTTGCTACTGACATAGCAGCCACTCTTCGAGGTTGAGTGCACCCAATCATTCCGTATTTGCTGTAACCATCTTCGTGTAAATATTGGGTCAATTGCGTTGTTTTACCGCTACCAGTTTCGCCTAAAATAATTATTAGGTACAATATATTTTTAGTAGTTAAATGAAGTGTGATTTGCAAAATTAGTAATACATATTGTTTTCTTACACATACCTACTATAATAACAACTGAATTTTCACGAATAACGTTCAATAGTTCCTGTCGAACGGCGAATACTGGAAGATACCTTCGTTGTTCTAAAATGGTCTTCTTTTTAGCAAAATCACTGCTACCACCTTCTGTTTTATTCATATGGTCTGCAAATTTTTGATCTGTTCTATAGTCAGTTTTATCTTCGTCCTTGTTGTACCGTGCATCTTCTTCGTCTTCTTTCTTTTTTATTCCCATAATGTTACCTTAAAAACAAATTTCTTCAGTAATTTTTTCCCACTTCCATTATGTTATATACTTTATGTTACAACTCTATATTACAATGTTCCCTAATGATTAAGTATTTAATTTTAAAAACCTCTTTTTCTGTATAATATGAGCTCAAATTGTTCATGTAAGATACTGTCAAAGATAATATAGGCTTTAAAAATTTTCGCACAGACGTAAAATGTTAACGTGGTGGGGAAGGGCGTCTAAAAAGTGGCCTAACAATATATGAACAACGGCAAAGTAGTATTACGTAAATGAAAGTTAATATCAGTAATTTCTTATGCAGAAGTGTATGTTGTGTTGCATATCTATTTACAAACAATTCCTTTAAATTTTAATCAATTACTATTACATCTATTAAAAAACCATAATGGCCGACATCAGTAACAATGCGACAACAATTGAAAAAGAATGATGGCCGACAACAGCAACAATTAGAAAAGAATGATGGCCGACATCAGTAACAATGCGACAACAATTGAAAAAGAATGATGGCCGACAACAGCAACAATTAGAAAAGAATGATGGCCGACAACAGCAACAATTGAAAAAGAATGATGGCCGACAACAGCAACAATTAGAAAAGAATGATGGCCGACAACAGCAACAATTAGAAAAGAATAATGGCCGACAACAGCAACAATTAAAAAAAATGATGGCCGACACTACGTCATAGTATTGTTCACAAAAGTGAATTTCGATAACTCGAAGCAATGGTGCTAACAGTTTCAAGCTCGCAGTGACTGATAGGGGGGAAGAACTAGTTTTGATAAAATATTTATACCTATTTTTGTGCCTCCAAGTTCCCAATGTTTCTTCTGTGCTTTTTTTCGTTCTTTTTGTTCCCTATAGATTTTTACCAAACGAGAACCTTTTCTAGCAGTCAGTGCCATATCAGAAGTAGGATCTCTAAAAAAGAGTAGCTGTAAGGAAATTATTTAAAAAAAAAGTATTTATAAAAACAAAATATATTAACACTAAATACAAACAACAAAAAAGATTACTTTAAATTCAGAGTGATTTACTGATTATTTGATATATTCAATTTGTCTCTTTTTTTAAATATCGCAAACTTGTTCATCTCACCTCACAGGAATTACAGGCTCAGGTTGTTTTGTAAATACAATACGTCCATCGAGAAAGGGTGGAACTATATTGTGAACTAGTAGATGGACGCGATCAAGCGATTCTTCATCAAAATCTTCATTAAAGTCAACTGAATGAACTACCCCTGATGTCAGCATTCTGTTTCTTTCCCACAATTCGTTATCTTTATTTATTTGCCTCTGCTGAGCAGACATTCTTTTTTTTTTACGTTGTTCCAATTGCTCCTCTTTCTTCTTTGTGTAATCATCGCTAACATTTGCAAAAGGATTATTTTCGTCATCATATCCTGAAAATAAAATAGTATTTATTACTTCCTTCTGCAATAGCTAAAACAGTGTCGACAAGATTTAAGACAAAAATGTAAAAATTAAGGACTTTAATTAAATAAAACATACCTTCATCCAAATTATACCATTCTCTATCAATACGTTTTTGTTCTTCTTCCCACAATTCCTTATCCTCTTCATCTTGCCATTTTAACTCTTCACTGCTTACTCCAGGAGTAGCTCCTGTCTTCTTTCTATCTTTTACCCAAACATTAAACTTATAAGCTGGTGTCACTCTAGGTGTTTCCCAACTATGTCTATTTTTATGACCACTACTTCTGGAACTCCTGTGTTCTCTATATTTTTCTGATCTGTACGATGGTGGCTCATTTTTAGAAGTTCTCTCAGACCAATCTCCACTTTTTTTATCAACTAAGGGAGTGGGAAAATCCCAAGAAGATTTTTTTGATGGAGCAACCTCATCATCGTCCCAAGATGATTTTGAAAGTTCGTCTTTTACTTTTAAATTTGGAGTTCTAGGTTCATCTGCAAACCTAGGTGTTTTGAATTGGTTCTGGCGTTCTGAATCAGTATACCTTTGTCTCCTTTCCTCTCGTTCATATTTGCTTGTTCTTGAATGCTTGTAATGTCCACTACGACTATTATGATCCTCACTATGACGTTTATGTTTAGAATCTTTTGTACTAGCATACACACCTTTCTCTATATTTTTAGAAGAATTCATTCGTTCCATTAATCGTTCTCTGGCTGCTTTTGTTATACCTCCTGTGTAAGTAGGAGTTTCTTCAAGAGGTGATCTATATTTACGACTATTGCTAGTTTGCAGCTTTTCATTAATATCTGATTCGAATTTTTCCTCTTCCTCAATTGAAAATGACATTTTTCTTGCAGCATCTTCTCGTTCTTTTCTTTTTTGAGCAGCTAATTTGTCTAAACCAAGTAGAGAAGGCTGAGGAACTTTAAATGTTGGTTGCTTCTTTTTAACAATTAATCCACCTCTTTGATCTCCTATGCCTTCCAAACGATGAACACCGTCCTCTTCTTCCATTATATTGAAATTTTAAATACACTTATTATAAATATGAAAAATAAGTTAATATTGGACCTAACCTAGAAAACTGTTGTCAATATATGATCCATAGATAACAAAAATCAAATTTTGTAGAAACGTTCATTGGTGTTCTAATAATTTTCAAAAAGTAATTTAACTTTTTTTAATCCTCTTACATATTTTCGCATAATTAGACATTGATAATACCTTACAAATTATAAAGCATAAGTTAATTTCGTTTTCTATTTTACCAAAATATCCAAGCTTATATTTTGAATGCATTTTATTACAATATCTATGATTGTAATTGTGACGTGACGTTTACAAAAATACAATGAAAAGTGATGTTTTCCCACATTAGTTATTAACAAATTCTTCAGACGATGGAAAATATTGCTAATAATAGTTCTGTTCTTATTATAAATTACGTAGAAGATGAAAAGTTTAATAATCAATTTTCAAATGTTATGAAAACTGCAGAGGTGTGTCCTCTAAAAGAAATTTCTAGTAAACAAGGCAAGTATTTCATACTTTAAAAGTAGCTTATACTATGAATTTTCTTTTACTGTTTTAGATAAAAATGAGTATTATGATGTTGTTATCCTTAATTCAGTTGACATCCATGATAACCAATCTCTAGATCAAACTTTGTCAACAATACTAACCCTTTTAAAACAGGGGGGTTCTCTCATTATTTTCTATAATGAAAACCCTCAAAACTTTGAATTGAATCTAAAAATAAATGGATACGTAGATGTTTCTGTAAACACTAATCAAATTATTGCTCAGAAACCAAAGTATGATATTGGTTCGTCCCAAAAAATTAATATTTCCAAAAATTCTTCAAAACTTTCTGTGTGGAAGTTAGATGATACTATTGATGATGACATTGATACTATTGACCCTGACAATCTTCTTGATGAAGAAGATCTTAAAAAACCAGACCCTTCTTCTCTACGTGGTATGTATATAATTTAACTAAATATACTTTCAAAACATTAAATTCTTCACTACTGCTGTATTACAAAACATATTTCCTATAGTATGTGGAACAACAGGTTTACGAAAGGCATGTAAAGACTGCAGTTGTGGTCTAGCTGAAGAATTAGAAAATGAAACTAAACCAACAAATGAACCTACAATTCGTTCTTCTTGTGGAAATGTAAGATTTTTTATATTTTCTAAACTATATTGCACTTTAAAAAATAACTTTCTTAATTGCTTTGCAATGATTTATAAAAAGTGAACAAATGTTCCTAATATTTAATATGTATTTTTTGAAGTGTTATCTTGGAGATGCATTCCGATGTGCTAGCTGCCCTTATTTAGGAATGCCTGCTTTTAAACCAGGAGAAAAGATTTCACTTACTGCAAATCAATTAGTTGCAGATAAATAAATGAACAGTTCAATCATAATCTTGTATAGTTTAGTTTCTGGTGGTTAATTTTGTTTTATATTTGTATTTGTCCTTTGAAATTTAATTTAGAACCCTTTTAAACAACTGTTTACTATTTTGTTAATAAATTGATATTACATATCATTACTTTTGTTTAAAATTTTAAGTAAGAATTTTGTTTCATAATTCACAAAACATTCTATTGTTCTATTTGTTAATTACAAAATGAGTATTAAACAAACAAATGTAAATAACTTGTTAGCAATTCTACTGCATCAGTATATTTACTAATAGGAATGTATTCATTGTGGACTATTTTTTTCCTTGTATCACAAATAAAGTGCCCGCACATTATGCACCAGTTGTAGAGCAAAGGTGGTGTTGAGATAATTTTGCTTTGTTTCTTCAATAAGATATTTCAATACTCAACACAAATGAATATAAATTGCATTCATAAAATAAATCGTCATTGGCACACTGATGAGTGGTTATATAGACGTTTTTTCTCTTTTATTCCGAAAGTAGGTTTAACAAATATCCAATAAGACATGAATTTTAATATTTTCTGTGGATTCGGTAAACTTGAGATTATTATGGTACTATTTTTACTGTTTACCATTAGAAAATTAAAAACAACTGGTAACACCAAACACGTGTATTTTACATATTTACTACATTAATATTAACAAATGTAAGCTAAACTATACGAGAAAAAAACAGCATAGGTACTCTGTACTGCTGACGATAATTTGGTGGAAATTCTGAAAATGAAATATTGATAATTAATTAAATGTTAACTTAGTATAATTAAAGGTGTGATATAAAAAACGGTTTCTTTAATTTTAAATTCAGTAAACAATATCTTAAAACTACAAATAAACGTAAAGAAATGGGGCTGTAACGATAAGTCAATGCGGGCGTTGAAAATTCTTCTAGTCTCGTAGATACTATAACAATTAAGGGAATTCTCCTGCAGTGTTCTTTCATCCAAAAGTTGACATAAACACTTTTAACTTCACCATTTTTGAAGTTTGTACACATTTTAAGATGTAGTTGTAAAAAATATATTCCCATTAATCCTTTTTATACACACTTGTTCACTATTACTAGGAACTACACTTCACTTCTTTGTAAACAGCAAACATAAAAAAATAGGTGTTCTGGCCTTGTAGCCAATTCGTTTCTGTATTCTGAAATCCTTGCAGAAAATGTAATAAAACAGTATTCACAAGTAAACTTGCTAAAAAAGAAGCTACTCGTCCGCAGAATTTGTAATCAAAAATAAATCTCAACGTTTTTGCACATTACTGGAACATATACTCTAAGTACTTATCTTTAAAAATAAAAATACTTTACGTCTTCAAGATTCGTGTTCATAATGGAAATCTTAGTCTACATATATGTAAAGAATACAAAATATAACAAAATCTATAAAATATTTATTAATAACTGCATTAAAATTATAAAAAAGAGAGACAGATTTCCTGTACATCAAGTCTTTATATGATGTTTGTATAAATACTTAATGTCCAAACCACTAAAAGCACCACCTTATCACTGACACTGATATGACAAAAGAAGCTGTTGGTAAAATCTCTGGTCCTTTCAGATAAAAGTCCCTTATTTACAACTTATTATCAGATAATCCTTTGATATCATTATTGTTCCCAACAGATATTTTTTAAAAATATCCAATAGACACGCATTTTTGTACCAATACTTACCTATTTCCAATTTAAGCCCATTCCAATACTTGAATATCGCTTTATAGACTATTTCATATGGTTTATAGCAGCAGTTGTAATTATTTTAAGCTTATACACATTGCTGTTGTCACATCTCCACATTTAAGGTCTCTTTCAGATTCTTCAGTTAGTTAATTGACTTGCCAAAAATAGTAAAGTATTGTACCTTTTTTTAATATATATTTGAAGTACATACAAAGCTTGAATATAATTTATACTGAAGAAATGACGAAAGCTTTAGGATACTTTTTACTTGGTAATCAAAAACTTTATTACAATACGATTTACTTGCAAAAAAAGAAAAATATTACCTTTTTAGTAATAATATGACGGTGCTTGTACACTGGTTGTTGTGAAAAATGATGCCTGTTGACTTCCGGGTCTCTGCTTTAACAATATTGAATCGGGAGTGTTGGAAATTAGTACGTGCGGCTGCTTCATAAAATTTTTTCCGAGAATAACGGGAATCGCCTGGATATGACTGGGCACAATGTAAGCCTTCACATTGGCACAAACTTCGTCAACAGTGAAGATACCTTCAAATTCTCCGACACAGGAAACGAGTGAACTTCCAAAACTCCTTATGACTTTGTACATCTTTTGATATTGTAATCCAAGTTTAGAAGCTGTCTCCTCCCTAATGGTAACGGTTTCGCTAGAAAAGTCAATATACCCTTTCACCTGATTCCCATTAATCATAACGTCCTTAAAGTACTGAGGATAAGTTGGGTTGTCAGCTAAAGCTCCAAACATGACCTTGTTATTCGATCGACTTACTGCTTCATCTTCGTTTTTCATCATACATTCTGCTTCAAAGTGGCCCTTTGTGTGACAATAAGAACAGACATTCCGTTCAGGACAATCCTTCCTCTTGTGACCTGGTTTCTTACACCTAAAGCAAATTGTCTCCTCCTTACGTTTCGATTTTTCTGGTGTAACCATTTGAGATTGATCATTTTCTGCTTCCTTTACTCGCAAAAATTCCAATAAGGTATTGATACTAGTGAAATCCTCTTCTCTAGCCTTTCGCCTCAAATTTTCGTCTGATAATCCTGCAATAATACAGGATACAGCTCTACCCCCTGTTATATCGCAAACATTCAGAAGAGCTACTTTATGGTCAAAATAAGTAACCAATGACTCATTGTCTTGCTTCCTTCTTTTCAACATTTCAGTTAAGTGATTGCAATAATCCATTTCTGATGGAAATGTTTGCATGAATTTATTTTTAAGATCCTTCCATTTGGTAATATTTTTACCAGCACTTAGGTACCACTGTCTAGCAAATCCAGCTAATCTTGATGACATGTTAAACCTTTTTTCATCATCTTGCCATTTATTTCTTTCAGCAACTTGCTCTAAATGTTTTAACCAATTTTTAGCAGAAAGCTTTGAAACTTCAGGATTGAACTCTGGAATATCATCCACTTCTTTTCCTAAACTCTTTTCTTCTATTTTATTTCTCAAAGCAGAATCTTCAGGGAATCTATCTATTGTTCGTTGCTGCTCCTGATTATTGATAAAATGCTCACTGCTATGACTTGGAGAAATTTTGTAATTATTTCTGTGTGAATGATCGTCTAACACAATATCTCTCCCTTTGAATGCAGTCTCCCGCTCCCTAAACTGTTCTTCCTCTCTTGAAAAATATCTTTTTTCTTCTTCAACATAATCTCCATGATTTTTTTCAATATCAAAAACATTATGATATCTATCATGATAGGAAGGTCTATCATCAAAATGTGGTGGTGAAAACTTATTTGGGTTATCAAAGTCAAATGCTTCTCTAGAGTGGGATCTTCTTAAATACCTTGTGTCATTATCAAAACCAGAAGTACGTGGTGGTGAAAATTTATTTTGAGAATCGAAATCATAACGTTCTCTTGATATCGATCTCCAACGTTTAATGCCAAAATTTCGCGAATTTTCTACTTTGGCATCAGGACTTGGAGTTCTTTTTCTATAATCGGGTGGTGAAAATCTACCATGAATATCAAACTTATCAAATTTAGGCAAACGAGATCTTCTGCCTCTGCTTCTTCGTTTTTCTTCTCCAGTTCGAGAATCACGACGGGTGCGCTCTTCGCGTTTAAGCCAATCTCTTAAATCATCCTTACTACGATTTGTATTGAAACCTCGATTTCTTCCTTCGCCTGATCTTTTCCGCTTGTCTCCTCTCATCATCGTCAATATAGTAGTTACTTACCTTTAAAAGAAATTATCTAAGAATAAAATGTAAAAATAATAAAGATGTATACAAAATGACTGCTCTGGAAATTACAATTCCAACGAATATTGGAAAGAAAACTTTCACAAGGGTACTACAATAATATATTATTTATTGAATCGTTATAGACTTGCTTACGTTTTCGATACTCCTTGTTCGAAGCTGCACTTATCATTTATTAAGTCTGAGTGTTTATAGTTTAATGTAAATGGCGAAAATTACTGTTGTGTTTATTTTTCAATTATCATTTATAACCACTAATCAATAATTAATGTTGGTCACAAAACTCTTAATGGCTAAAACTATTAATTTTAGGGGTGGAACAATATCGTTTAATAACTTTTACAAGATAATTAGCCACTTACGGTGTAAATAGTCGATCATGATGGTAAAATGCACTACAAATCATAGACAACTACGAATTGATTGAATTGATCCGAAATATCTATGATGTGAAACTGTAGACAATCTAAAACTATCTGAAACGTAAAATCATAGATTCATAAAGTTAAACTTGCTACAGGCTCTGCAATCTTAGAAAGAAATACTAAAATATAAATAGCTATTCTTAATTGAAAATAATAATAAGTATTCAAATTACTAGTATGTTTTGCCTTTTTAATTATTGAAAAATAAACTAATGAAAAAAATCATACTTATTATTGGACGGTTGAAATAATCAAGTTGGTGCTACTGGTGTTATGCATTTTGGCTTATTTCAATATTATTTGATTTTCATTTTTATAAAGCTAAACTAATCTAAAAAAGTTAAACATAAACAAACGTTTATAATAAATCTTATTCTTGTATCCAATTTTATCGTCATGTCACGATATACAATCAATATTTTTAAAAATTACTTTAGTGCAAGATATGAAGTCCCCAGAAAAAGAATCCAAACAACCGGTAAAAATATAAAACTCGTTGATAACTTTTTAATCATCGTATGAGTTCCTTTTTGGTTTTTGTTAATTATATTCTATGTATCTCTTAATATCATCTATTAAGTTCAGTTTTTGTCATTTTGTTCACTGTAATTTCAAGTTTAATAAGTTAATGTATTTTGAATGTATTGGTTGTTCTTTCTCTTTAGGATTTTTTCGAAATGTGTCTGGAGAACAAGGTATAGCTACTTTTAAAGAAGTTAAAGAGGCAACAAATAACCCTAACATTATTGTCATTGATGTGAGAGAGCCCTCAGAACTGAAACAGACAGGAGTTATACCTGGTAGCATTAATATTCCATGTAAGCAATTCATGTAGTACTTCTCAAGTAGTATTTTTTTTAAACTTATGAAATATTAATACTTCAACTCATTAAATTTATAAGTATAATTCAATTCATTAAACTAATACGATTCAGTTAAAACTGGAGTACAGTATTTTTTTGTAGTGAATCAGTTGGTTAAAGTATTTAAAACCATGAATGAAGAACAGTTTAAAAAAAGTTTTGGGCGTCCAAAACCATCTTTTGATTTTCCTATTATTTTTACATGTAAATCAGGTAATCGTGCAGGAAAAGCAACTGAACAAATTCGTGGATTAGGATATAAAAAGCAAGTCTACTGATATTTTTTAGAAAGTACGGTATAAAATACAATTTTCAGCGTGCGAAATTTTAAAGGAGGATGGCTAGAATGGGAGGCAAAAAATGGGAAATAACTAACAATAGGTGCTCAAAAGACAGTCTAGGTGAAATTTTTTAAAATAAAGTAATTTCTGACTTATACTTTATCGATAAATTAGCTCCTCTTTTCTATGTACATACAAATTCTATTTTTTCCCTCTTTCAATAATTATTTTTTCTTATATGCCGCTTATTTCTATTAAATTGTTTTTGAGTGGTATTGAAGAAATACTTATTCACGCTTGCGAACTAAACAATGTGCCAATTTTTTCTATCATTCCAAGGAATGTGTAAATTTTTCTGAAACTGTACTAAACTACTAAATTCCTATTAATAAATGAAAAAAACTTTGTAGTGAATAAAGTAGAAGACGCTTTTAAAAGTTTAAAGGATGACGAATTTCAAAAAGTATATGGACTTCCAAAACCGACAACTGATTCTTCAATTATTTTTTCATGCCTTTTAGGAAAGCGTTCTCAAATCGCATTAGAAACAATTCAAAAATTGGGATTTAAAAAGTAAGAATTTTAAATTTTTATTTTTTTCTCTATTTCATTTTAAATAATGTAATTTCAGGGTTCGTAATTTTAAAGGTGGATGGCAGGAATGGGAAGCAAAAACAAATAAAATCTAAATACTTTAATAAGTACCTATTAATTACACATATTACACTGATGATTATAATTAAATGCAAACTAGATTATAACTTGGATTTATAAAATAAAACATTAAATTATTGTTCATCTTTGTCAGCTAGTTTAGCTTTTACCATTTCTCTAAATTGTCCCAAAATAAGATTTTCTCTCTTCTGTCTTTCTTCTTTACTGAACATTGCTAACGCTCGTTTTTCATCTGCAGAGTAGATTTGATTTTCTTTACGAATGCGCACTGCTTCCATTCTTCTATGCCTACTCCCTGACATAACATACCCTACTGACTCAAATGTAGCAATTTGATCTGACGTTAGACCGATTTCTCCCCTTCTAGGTATGCGTTTGCCTTCAGCTACATATGCTGCCATTGCAGCACCTTCTCCTGGTAGTAAAGCTCTTCCCATTTCTTTGTGAGTCAGGGTTGCATGGGCTTTTTGCTGGGGACCAATGATGTTATCCTCTTCCTCTACTAAAGTTTCTTTTAAGTCTTTATTTCCTGAAAAAACAAATTAAATTAAAATGCCATTACAAAAAAATATTTGTATTTACCATCTTTTTCAACCCACTCATCTTCTGAAGAATTTTCACTTGAAGGAGCCTGCTTTTTCTTTTTTTTCTTTTTCTTTTCCTTCTTGTGCTTTTTATTTTTCAATTTCTTACTCTTTTTGTCTTTCCTTTTTTTTTCTTTGTGAGTGTTTGCATTCTTATGGGATTTAGTACTGTCTTCATCAGAACTAGAAAACCTACAAGGAAAGTATGGTAACAAAACCTTTTCATAATTCATTTATTCTTTAAAATTTGAGAATGGATACTATAAACTTACTGGCTTATATCTGGCGATTTTTCCCAAATGGTAGAAATTTGTCTTGCTCCAATAAACTCTCTTTCTTTTCTTCGCATTTCTAGAAATTCCTCTTCTTCTGTAAGCCTTTTATTTTTTAGCTTACCCCAACTTGAAGTGGTATGACTTTCATGATGAATATGTTTTTTACAATTATCTTGCTTTTGATAGCTTTTATAAGCACTTCTATTTTGAGAATCTGCATCTTTATTATTTTTAAATTTCTGGCTTGGTGAAATTGATCTATTTCTTTTTGCACTTCTTGATCTTGATCTACCTTGTTTTCTCCTACTGTGAGACCTAGATCTACTTCTTTGACGTGATCTGGATCTGCTTCTATGACTCCTTGACTTCGAATGTTTTCTATTAACTAAATTTGAATGATGGCTTTCTCTTCCATTGTACATTGCTAATTTGTTCTGCCCTTACTACATTTAACACAAAACTAAGTGTAATTCATCATTCAGAACTGATAAAACTAACAGTTACAATACAGATTCCTGATCAATATGATACTAATTTGCTTTCAAAAAATATTGCACTCACTTTAAACATACTACAATGTAACTTACAAAAAACAGAATTTATTTTTTCGAGTATTTCTTAGTTTTAATGTTTTAATTTAAAAGATAGGTTATGAATTTATTATCTTATTATTATCATTAACTATTGTTGATTGCTTTGAGTATACGATGACCTATCATCTATGACGATGACGTATTTATGGTCACAGATATTGTAGGAATTCAATGAAAACAAAAAAATATTCGTGAATCAAATCAATATATACACATTATTATTGTGTAAGTAAAAAATTTATTTCAAATTGTTAATGTAAAGCTTATATATAATTAATTACTCTAACAAAAAGTATTTCTTATATACAGTGTTTTAGAAGTTATGTTACTTATTTTAATTTACTGTTTAAGGATCTTCCCTCTTAAAACTTTAACATCATCAACAGGTCTATCATTTTTATCAGTCTCAACAAGTCCAATTCTTCTTACTACATTAATTCCATTGGACACTCTGCCAAATATTGCATGTTTGCCATCTAACCATTGTGTTGGTGCTAATGTAATAAAAAATTGGGATCCGTTTGTATCAGGACCAGAATTTGCCATTGATATAATTCCAGCCCCTGTATGCTTTAGTTCTGGATGAATTTCATCCTTAAATGTTTGCCCATAAATTGAAACTCCACCTTTGCCAGTTCCCGTTGGATCGCCACCTTGTATCATAAAATCACGTATTATTCGGTGGAAGACTGTATTATTATAATAACCTCTTCGTACTAATTCTGCAAAATTTCTACATGTTGTTGGTGCGTGCTTCCAATATAATTCAATGGTAATTTCACCCATTCTGTAAATTTAAACACCAAATGAGCCTTATTTTACATCGATAAACAGTTTTGGCACTTACGAGGTTTCTAGAACTACAAAAGGGGGCTGCCACATTTTATCTGGTATCCCAGATTGATTCATTGCTTGTATTGCCATAATTGCTTATGATAATGCAAATTTTAAAATTCTAGTATGGATAATTAGGACTTCGTTAAATATCAACAGATTATAAATAAACATAGGTTATACACATAGACATAATAAATGGATCCATAGAACCCATAACAGACAGTTGTGTGAGACCTTCTCTGGTGACACCCAATTTATATAAACGATCAGCTGATTTGAACCATAGATCAGAGGTATATAACTTTCTCATTGAAGTGGAAGGGAACATCTGTAGTCTATTTCAATGAACTTTCTAAGTCGTGTGAATTGGCACCCGATATAAATAACCCACTGATTCAAACCACAGATAAATTGTGCGTCGTTTGCCGGTTCTCAATATGTAAGTATACTATACATTAATCTCTAATCTATGCATCATACCATAGATGGTCGCTAAGGTCATAGATAGCTGTGCTGATTGTGTTAATCAATGGAATAAGATCACAATCGTGTGACAATAATCTGTATAATCTATGGTGACAATTATTAACAATTATTGATGACTGCACTGACAGGAACGTGACAGGAAATAACCATAGTAAGATGATTCGGGAACTGGGAAGATGGGAAGAGCTTGAACAAAATTGAAGATTAAGAGCTAAAAAGAATGATGTGAGTGCAGTGTACTACCAGTATAATTTTGTTACGTAAATGTGTATATCATTAACTTGATTAAGGTGATAAAAGTATTTAAGTATGGACGTGAAAAGAACATTTAGTAGGGGTTGAGCAGTCTATGTGCTAAAATTTTTATAAATTTGCCCATTGTGATTTACTTGAAATGTGATAAAAATACTAGAAGAACATTTTAAATTAATGATATTGATGAATAGAAACTTGAATTAGGAATGTTTGGTGAATATAATGACTTTGTTGCTGTCAATGTGCCTGCTGAGGGTTTGCCAGAGAAAAAGAAGAAAAATTTATGGAGGGTAAAATTTTTATTAAAAGTAATAAAAAAATCATTACTTTTTTTCTTTTTAGTGGTGGAATCAACTATCGAGATTTCAAAGAAATGTTTTCTACATGGTAATATCAGTACTGTGTTTCACTACTTTGTATTTTAGCATAGGCAATATTGATAATGCAACAGTAAAATCAAATAAACAGAAGATTGTTTCACCATTATCAAAAGAAAATTTGGAAAATTATGTAAAAGATCAAGAAAACAAATTGGAGGAAATTGAACAACCAATTCCAGCTGACTTTGAGAATTATGACAAAAGTAGTGTTCTGTTCAAAGGTAACCTTTTAAATCATTTAGAAATTTTTAAACATTGTTTATCTAATTTTTCACATAGACTACATATTTTGCATGGTCATATATTTTTTTAAAATGATAAATTATATCTATAAAGTATATCTTGCATTACACAAAAATATATAATTTATCTGTATAGCCACTTAATGATAATAATTGAGATAAAATAAATAGAAAGAATAACTTTTCTTTCATTGCTAGAAATGGGCTAAATCTTTGTATCTTTATTTTTATTTTTATTATCTGTTGCTTTAGAGTATTTTTATGTTGGTTATTTTTTTATCAGTTTTACAGATGTAGTAGTTGTAAATTATTTTAATGAAATCAGTAATATTGAACAATTTTATAACTTGAACAAAATATTTTATGTAGTACTTTTAAAACAGATAGTAAGTTTTGATTTTCTAAGTTCTATTACATTTGTCTAGGACCCACAACTAAGAGACAGCAAGCGGTGGTCCAGGCCTTTAAACATGCATGGAAAGGATATAAGAAATTTGCATGGGGACATGATCACCTAAAACCTATATCAGAGAGCTATCATGACTGGTTTGGACTTGGTCTGACTATAGTGGATTCCCTTGATACTATTTATATTATGGGATTAAAGGAAGGTCAGTGCCAAACCAATTTTTATATGTTTTGATGTAAAAGTTTGAGTAAATTTTGTTGCAATTAATAGCAGTTTAAACTTTATATACTTTCTATTGTTTTAGAATTTGCTGAAGCCCGAAATTGGGTTGCTGAACATTTAAATCTTAATCAAGACCGAGATGTAAACTTATTTGAAACGACCATTCGAGTGCTGGGAGGTTTACTCAGCGCATATCACTTATCAGGGGACTCGATATTTCTAGATAAAGCCATTGATTTGGGTTTGCGTTTACTTCCAAGTTTTAAAACTGAGTCTGGCATTCCGTTTTCGGATGTAAATTTAGCTACTAAATTGTCACATCCTCCAAAGTGGTCACCAGTCAGTAGCACATCTGAAGTCGCAACCTTACAACTGGAATTCACGGATTTAAGTAGAAGCAGTGGGGATTTCATTTTCGAAAAAACTGCTGCATTTGTATCTGAACATATTCATACGTTGACGAAAAAGGACGGGCTTGTACCAATTTTTATTAATGCATTCTCGGGGAACTTTAGGAGTTACTCTACAATTACGTTTGGTGCTCGAGGTGATAGTTATTATGAGTACTTGGTAAAGCAATGGATACAAACTGGAAAAACCGTTGATTAGTAAGTTTAATAGTCTTCTAAATATATTTAGTACATCATTCGATAAACATATTTCATAATGTATAAATAAAATTTTCTTTTTAGTTTAAAAAATGATTACCTAGAAGCTATAGAAGGTATGAAGAAGAACCTGGTTCGTCGTACGGTTCCGAATGGTTATCTTTTTGTTGGTGAACTGTTGGGAGGAGGAAAAGAATTCAAACCTAAAATGGATCATTTAACCTGTTATTTACCTGGTACTTTGGCTCTTGGTGTTCATCACGGTTTGCCGTCCGATCACATGAACCTTGCCTATGAACTTTTAGAAACCTGTTACCAAACTTATGCTCAACAACCGACATTTTTGGCACCAGAGATCACGTATTTTAATATCCAGGTAAATTCTTTTTTTTTTCTTTTATTTTTGGAATGGTGCCCAAAGTTGTCGCACTATCGAAAGAATATTAATTATCAAGTATCTTAACTCCCTCCCATTCTGAGCCAATCTTCGCATTTCCCGAAAACAACCCACATCCCTAACTACTCGGAAATAGCAATTTAATCTAGATTTTCTTTTGCCCCCCCGCCCTCTTATACCTGTTTCTGCTTCTAGTATATCTCTAATTTTTCATGTCTCAGAAGGTATCTTACCATCTCTTTGAAAGATTGTTGTAAACTATAATTTTTTGCTTACTACCAAAATTATAACAAATGTTGCAATGCGTTTATTGGATTAGTGTATAATAGACTATTCTCTCTTTCAAAACAGCCTACTGACCAAGCGAATGATATATACGTGAAAACACCCGATGCCCATAATTTATTGCGACCGGAGTTTATTGAGAGCCTATGGTATATGTATCAAATCACGAAGAACACAACGTATCAGGATTGGGGTTGGCAAATATTTGAATCTTTCGAAAAGTACACAAAGGTGTCTAATGGCTATACGTCTATTGGTGATGTTCGCAATCCAGAGAATGTAAAGCCTCGTGACATGATGGAATCGTTTTTCCTGAGCGAAACGATTAAATATTTATATTTACTTTTCAGCGATGATCCCAAATTGATTGATATCGATCGATATGTGATGAATTCGGAAGCCCATCCATTACCCATTCAGTCTTAATTGAATAACAGCTTTTTAAAGTAATGGTGGTATTTGTTTTTGTGAAATAGATTCGTTGTTTAGATTCTGTTAGCTTTGATACTAATTGTTATCGACTTGCTAGTGTTTTTATTGCAGTTTATAACATTGATTTCGTAATGACATTTTCAACTTATTGAATTAAGAAAAGTCTATGTCTACAGTAAAATAGATTTGTATAATAAGTTTATTTGCTACACACGTGGGAAAAATTGCATTGTTTATTATTTGTTAATTTTATTGACCACTATATTAACAATGTCGACGTTTTGTACAAAAATTTTGTTATGATAGAAAAATATGTTACCTTATATTTTATAACATTTAAACGACTGAATAATTAATACTTAAATATGCCATGAAAACAAAAGAGAGTTATGTTGTACAGACCGCTTTCGTGATTCGACTTTCTTGATTAAAATATCTACATAGTCTATTTCTGTATACAATATTTGAATAAGTTGCAGTATAAATTTAACAGAAAGTTTTTATAGGTACAGACGAGGTTGAGTTTTTTTATATTTTAACAGGATGGTTTAAAATTATAAAGACTGTCAGAAAATAAGTGTGGTTGTTATTTAAATAAACCGTTTTTCAGTTGTCAGAACAACCACCTGCACGAAACACGTCCAAATATTTTTGAAGACTTTTTCATTGTAATTTAAAGTAGAATTTAAACTGAAATGAGGAGCACAAGAAATTGACTGAAATAATATCCTCTCTAGTTTCGAAATGTATTTACACTTTTTTTCATTTTAGAATATCCTTTACATTCCACACTTTTATAATGCAAAAGATAACATTATTTAGCATTTTGAAAATATTAAGTAATCAATGTGTCATTAAAAAAAAAATGGGGAAGCACAATCATTCAAATTGTTTTTTTAATTACATAGAACTTATTGTACTTAGGTCGTTAAGAGCAAGCTTACGGCGATATATTTTAAGTAACTAAATAAATAAATATACAAAACATCACCAGTAAGTAGTAAGACTGAATACCTGGTTTAAATATAAGTAAAAAATATGGCGTTATTGTAACTTTCTTAAATACATATGATATTTCTAATTGTAAATATTTAGTAAGTTCGTCCTTTATTGTGATATTACTTTGCGTATACACAATGTATATTATCCCGGTGTATAACGATTTTAGTGCTATATAAAGTAGTTAATACTCGTTTATTTTTTAATGTGATATTAAAAAGATGGCATTCCGTTTTCGGATGTAAATTTAGCTACTAAATTGTCACATCCTCCAAAGTGGTCACCAGTCAGTAGCACGGAGGGTAAAATTTTTATTAAAAGTAATAAAAAAATCATTACTTTTTTTCTTTTTAGTGGTGGAATCAACTATCGAGATTTCAAAGAAATGTTTTCTACATGGTAATATCAGTACTGTGTTTCACTACTTTGTATTTTAGCATAGGCAATATTGATAATGCAACAGTAAAATCAAATAAACAGAAGATTGTTTCACCATTATCAAAAGAAAATTTGGAAAATTATGTAAAAGATCAAGAAAACAAATTGGAGGAAATTGAACAACCAATTNAATTTTTATATTATTGAACGGTAATGTTGAAAAACGATGAAGCTAAACAGATGTAGAATATTTTGTTCTAGTCGCAGGTGTTATACATGTATTTACTGTTATAAATGTTGATAAATCGGAATGTTGTTGTTGATTTTTAGTGGGAATTGTACTTGTATTTTGTTAAAATGTCTTACTAGTATAAACGGGGCGTTAGAAATATAAATATATGTATATACGTATATGTAGTAGGAAAATTAAAACTATGGAAGGCAAGTAAATGGTTGGGTACTAGCAAATTTTTCTTTTATCGTACAATTAAAAAGTTCTTAATGTCAAGTAATGAAATAATTTAGTTGATAAAATTTATTCAACTGACTGATTTACTCAATAAAGAATTTAATGAATCACTAAATTGCCGTTTTTTTATTGGTCTTTTATAACTTTTTTAAATATTAACGCTATTCTTATTGCAATATCAACTTATTTATTTACAACATCAAAAAAAAATTATTATTCACATGGTTTTCCTTTGGGTAAATCCCATTTGCTAAACAGTATACCGTTTTCATTACACAGTGTTATATGAAACGAAAATGTAGCAGATATATAAAAAATGAGAATGTTTCTCACTCCGGTACGTAATTTTATTGGTTTAACATTAACATTATTATAAGGTCGTTAATCTGAAGACTGGTTGGACACAATACCCACTCCTTCCTGTCCCGACCCAAAATCTAGAACATCCTACAATTTCCTCTGCCCCTTTTTACTCTTGATTGATTACATTTTTTTGAAGTGAAACTTATTTACGCAAGGTAAGATAAGTTCGTTTCATGCAAGTTGTTATGTAACGAAATCATGCAACGAATGTCCCCCCTCTACTCGGCCACCTAATCGAGTTCGTAGGGGGGATTGGATTATTATTATTTTTAAATAAAATAAAATAAATGATAGTGGGGGAAAAGTTTAAACTGTATCACCTTAATCTAGTCCAATAAACTCTCTTTCTTTTCTTCGCATTTCTAGAAATTCCTCTTCTTCTGTAAGCCTTTTATTTTTTAGCTTACCCCAACTTGAAGTGGTATGACTTTCATGATGAATATGTTTTTTACAATTATCTTGCTTTTGATAGCTTTTATAAGCACTTCTANAATAAATGATAGTGGGGGAAAAGTTTAAACTGTATCACCTTAATCTAGAAGTTAGCGGACAAACAAGTAGGAAAGCTTGCAGTTCCCAATTTGACTAACAATTATGGATTAATTAATACACAATTGAAAATCGGAATAATTGACTTGACTATTAATTAATACATTTTACACTTTTAGTCATCTTGAATTATATATATGGCCTGTATTGTACATTTCATAGTTTATGGTGTTTTTTCGGTCCTCGGTTAGGAATGAAGACATTCTTTCGTTTTTTGCCCAGTCCTCTTATCGCATGTTTTCGAGTATTAAAATGTCAAGGTCTCTAATAAAAAAGATGGTAGTTTTATCCTTTCACTTCGGAGCTCACACTTGCATACAAATACGTATGGCTGGAGTTTATACTGAAATTAGTTCAATATTAGGTGGAAATTATTCGTCAGTTGTGCGGGGAATAAACTTACAACAGACATTGTGTTTTAAAGCTTATTTAAATGTTTAAAGGATTCGCGTTTTTTTTATAATAAATGATGTGTTTATTCGTGTTTTGTGGCGAACTTAAATCCTTACAGAGTCACTTTTACTTAAAAATCGATTTAAAGCTATGTGACTTTAAACAAAAAGGTCTAATTAATAAATTAACTATAACAGTTTCAGTTAACGCGGACGCGTGTTGTGCTCACGCAAATCCCATATCTAATAAGTGATGTGCCGCAAGGATAGAGTTGAATGATTCCACACAAAGTAAGTTAACATTTTAGCTAATTTTTTAGTGAAGATGTTTGTAATTAAATTCAGCGTTTTTAACATTTGGTATCACATCTATCAAGTTGTACATTCAATTAGTACAAACTTTTGTTACAAATAGGATCGTCGAGAAAAAGGTGGAAAGTGGGGAATCCCCTGATTCCAGTTTTTTTCAGGGGGCCCGAATATTCGGATTTTTTTAATAATGAAATTATGAACTTTCAAGCTTTATGTTTGTGGGTTAATTATTTTGCAGTCCTGGGCTCAAAATTTCTCTTGACGGTTTTGCTTATGTTATATTATTTTTTCAAAAACGTTTATGTTATAAACCAACCTTTTATAAGTTTTTAAAGTATAATTTATTATTGGAAAATTGGAAAAATATACATGTATACGGAGTATACTGATTATCAGGATGTAGGTCCGACTTTAACTGAAGTAGATTTAATTATCAGCAATATTTTAATTTTTATATAGCCCCCCTCAACAAAGTCAGCATCGTCATATTGCGAGGTAGTCAAAAATAAAATTTATGAGCTCCAAATTCCCTTAACTTTGTTGTAGTTTTAATACAATTAATTTTTGAACTACCTCATTAGTATTTTTAGGGTCAGTTTGTTGTCTATCTAGTAAATTATAATGTTGAATTACAAAGTAACTCAGAAAATTTATTTCTTTAGCGTTAAGTATGCACAGTTCTTCTAAACATTTTACAAAAAAATTTATTGCAAATATTTAGATAAAGCGATTGCTTTATCAGAATAATATTTGTAGACTGGTATCGTAGTTGATTCTCATAAATTGTATTAGAAAGACAGACACCATCTGGCACGTGTCACGAAAATTATAAACTAAATTGCACTGATGAGAGTGAGTTATATCGTTATATGTATATAAAAGTCTTTTGTATCACAACTTGGTATAAAATTAGAGCACCAATATTTCTTTTACATAATAGTACATTCACAGCACTGCAAAGTGTAATAAAGGCACTTGATTCCGCAACTTTCATCCTCCTCGGTTTCTTCCTTTTTATTAACTGGTTTAATTGTTATTCCGTCCAACCGGTTCAAATTATCGTTTCTGGAAACGTAGTTTCCGTCAGAACTTTGCCTTTTTTCGGTACGAAGGGGAACCTCCTGTAGTATAAATAGAAATTAATGTAAAATTTCGAAAAGTTATAATTTTTAATCCGTGCGTTTTTTCTTTAGAATACAAATTAATGTAAGAGACTTTGTTTTATTTTTTTTTATTTGCAAAATTATTTTTAATTTTATCGGCCTTCAAATTACGATGGTAGATAGATTTGGTATTTTTTCCTATAGTTTTGTAAATAAATTAAAGATTGTGACTGCTATTCTTGACCCCTTTTGTAATGAAAACGAATATTTTTAAAAACTTTGCTTGTTTTGAGTAAAAAACGCTACAAATTTATTAAACCCAAAATCGAGTAAAAATAATAAGGAATACATACCTCGGCAGTGGCAAGTATTTCGTCTTCATTTTTGTGTGGTTCGTGGACTTCGTTAGCATACGGCTCCTTTGAAACTTCATCGTTAACTTTGTCGGAAAATGCGGAAGCCGCTGCGAGATCGGTGTTATTTGCATTGGCATTTTCAATTTGAACTGCAGCGTCTCTGGACGTTGTAGGAGATGGAGGCTTGCGGTCCTCTTTGAATTCGAAAAGTTCATGCTTTTGCGAGTTAGGGGAATCCCCGGACATCATGGCACTGAAAAAATTTACTATTTTCACCCTAGCAATCGATTATGTAGAATTCTAAATTAATTAGCGGTAACTTTTGACTTATAAGAATCATTTTAAAACGTCCACTTACGTTGTTACATATTATTACTCCATTTCTTGTACTTTTACTGCATGTATATTAATATTATGGCAGATACTAACATGAATATAATAATGAAGTCATAAAATTATTAAATTATCCACAATCGCAATTGCTTAAAGTTCGTAAAAATTGAAAAAATTCATTGGAAAATTACCCAAAAGTTAACATTAAAATTTTTCTGATTCTGTATTTTTGAAATTGTTTATGATACACTATGATTACATTTTTATGGAACATACATACATAGGTATATTTGTTTTGGCTATAATTAACAATATGATAACCACTAATTTGCTGATAAGACTAAACGAGTTTATGATTTAAATAGTGTTTTGGATTTAAAAGGCAAGCACTAATGATAATAGTTTATCAGTACTGCAAAGTCTTTTTCCCATTTTCGTACTTGGAGTTAAATAAATCAGTTCCCCTTGTCAAAAATAGTATTACCTAAGAACGTTAGATAACTTCAAATTTAGCTAATGTTATTGATAGATCAAATTAGATATTTGTGCTTATAAAAATCGTTTGCATATTTCAAGGTATACTGGTTTTGGTTTATGTAAATCAAGATAGATTGGCAACTTTCTCATAAAAAATGGGAACCTATCTTACCACTTTATGTTACTAATGTTTGGTGAATATAATGACTTTGTTGCTGTCAATGTGCCTGCTGAGGGTTTGCCAGAGAAAAAGAAGAAAAATTTATGGAGGGTAAAATTTTTATTANAAGATAGGTTATGAATTTATTATCTTATTATTATAAAATATACAAACATATGTAGGTGCATACATTTGTATCAAATAATAGCGATTACATAAGTAGTTGAATGATTCAGGGAAGCGTTGACATTGTATTATGTGACAACACGCAAAATTATACGCAATATAATATACTATGAATGTAATACATGTTATACATTCATAGTATATTATACGCAATATAATATACTATGAATGTAACATGTATTACATTCATAGTATATTATACGCAATATAATATACTATGAATGTAATACATGTTACCTGCTTTGAATTACATTATACTGAAACATGTAACATTTTAATATAACTATTGCATGTCACGTTATCCTTCTCAGGTTCGTAATATGTACCTTTTTTTACGCATTATAAAATGCGATTCTGATACTAACGATATTAATTCAAAAAGTAATTTTCACTGTTTTTTAATAATTATCATATACTACATATTTATGCAAATACCTTATAATTTGTAATAAACAAGAAACGGTTTGAATGAATCACTTAAGTAACTTTTTTGTGAGACTTTGGGAATAAAATAAACTGTGACTTTTGATGACCTCGAAAAAATAAAAAGTGTACGGGATGTAATAGGTACCCATAGTTGTTACAATTGTCGTTAATTTGCGGTTTTAATTAACAAAATTAATTACCTATCTAGCTCCATTCACAATTGATTTAACAGTTGCATGAAAATTCACGTCGACGAGAACAAAGCTGAGCATGAATTAGCTAAAAGGTGTTAAGTACCTTTTTTTCCTTTTTTTTTTATTGTGGACAGGTTTTAGTCTTTTGTAATAAAACAACATCAAAATTGCTATAATCTGCTGCTTTTATATGACCACATGGTGCGTTAAGGGTAAAAATTGTAGAACCTCGAACGCGAATGCTTTGTGTTGGGGTTGAACATTTGTTTGAAGTTGTTTGCGCTAATGTTTGTTGTTACATATCAAACACGTTATAATTCTTCATAATAGTAATAATAATGTGAGCAATTTTAATGAATATAAATTACTTATCGTTAGTGATTCAATTAAAAAGATTCGATATGTTGGAAGAAAAACTAGTATGGGATTTGTTTCTTTCTTCTGTTAATTACTTAACACCAGTTCATGCAAATGGGTAACTTTCTTGTAAAACATTCCTAACTTACATAACAAAATTCTCGAGAGCATAACACACTACAACATAAGTGATCCAACACGCCATGATCATTGTCGTATCGTTAATGCCCATCGAACCGTAAAGTAACATTCGTCGTTTTACTTACTTATATGAGAATGAGCACTGTCGGCATGAAAAAACTTATGTAGTACCTACTTAATTTAAGTCACTGCACTCCGGTCATCCATTCGTCAGTCGCCCATCCCCTACACTTTAATTTAAGTCCCCCTCTGTAACATTAATTGGCACTGCAGACATCAAAGGTTCGCGAACAAAGACTGTGCCCACAATTATCCGACCATATACGTTAAGCATTTACCTGAGAAAAGTTGACGTAAACTGTGCATAACTACATTATAAGGAGGAATTAAAAGTTGCTCTTCGTTTTGGTTTCGACTGCGAAACGGAGACTGACGATCACCTGGCTGCTGGGGTCAAGTTGGCGTTGACGATGGAGGTACACCGTGGGTGCACCGAGGTATACAAATGATACACTACCGACCGTTTTATGAAGAACAATAGAAAAAATGTTGAACCGCAACAAAAGTTACTATAATGTTATATATATATATATACATATGTACAGACGTCGCTTTTTTTTAAAATGCAGTGGGCGAAGCGAAAGATTTTTCTTAGGGGTGGGGGGGCAGATTTTCAATAGTTGTGAGTTTATAGGTATGAACAGGTTTAATTTGTTTCGTTTCTGTTTCTAAACTTTGTGCCGATATCGTGACTCGTTAGAGCCTTTTCTAGGGGGAGCAATGAGCTTGCTAGGGGGGAGTGGCCCCTGGGTCCGACCTATCTACGTCCATACGACCTAAACTAAATAACAATTCTATCCAGGGACTGTACGGTGGACCTGTGTGAGTCATGGCTCATGCATTGAAAGCTCAGACTTAGGTCTGATACCCCCCACCCCCAACCAGAAATAACCTGATTGCAAAATTTAAAACGCATGCAACTTCACTTAATTCAAGATGCACTGCTATTTGCAAAAATTAAAATTTGAAACTGTCCTAAAAACAAAAAGGACTTCTATTCCTTAAATTTTTTCAAGTCGGTTCAACCGACTTCCATCCTCATTCGTGGCATTCTTTCCCAGTTTTCATCATCGTAAGGTCGTCAGTCCTAAGACTGGTTGGACACGCACCTCCACTCTTTCCTATTCTGAGCCAAACATCGCATTTCCTTAAAACTAGAACAACCCACATCCTTAACTACTTGCCAACAGTAATCTAATCTAGGTCTACCTTTACCCCTCCTAACTTCCGTTTCTGCCTCTAATATGTCTCTGACTAGACCTTCATGCCTCAGAAGGTGTCCTACTAACCTATCTCGTCAAATTGACTTCAATAGAGTCCTTTGTTCTCCTATTCTTTCTAATACCTCTTCATTTCTAACCTTTTCTACCCACGATATCCTCATCATCAGCCTATAACACCACATTTCGAACTTTTCTAACCTTTTCTTTTCCGTCGCGCCCACTATCTACGTTTTGCACCCGTGCAACGCCGAGCTCCAAACATATTCTACACAGTCTGTCCTCGTCCTTCTTCGAATATTTACATACATTCCTTACACCCATTCCTTGTCCTAAATTTTGCTAGAACGCTTACTTCCCTCCCACCTTCTAAATACCTTGGCACTCATATCCCTTACTAGTCTCTCATCTATGTACAAAATCTCTCTCAGCCCCATATCGTTAGATCCTCTCCCCTTATCATTCCCTTGCATCTGTTCCCCATCCCTATATTTATAGCTTGTGTCAACACTTCCTCACATACTGGTAAATATAAGCATTTCTGGAATATCTAATGCCTAATACAAAATTATGCGGGTTTTGTTCGAGGTGTTGTGAAAAGTAGTATACTTATGCACCAGGGAAGGAAATAAACATGAGGTTTGAGTCTAATTTTTAAACATCGGTTTAACAAAAGTACATTTAATTAGGTATGGTATAATCATGCCTCATTGTTACTCTTATCATAATTATCTGTTTAACCTTCAAAAAGACTTATACTTTACGCGAAATTAATACGTAGGTCTTGACCGAAATTATTTAACGTAATAAAGATTAAATCCAGTAAGATTGTAGAAACAAAATGAATAAAATGTTTACCTGCAGCAATCTTCTTCATTTGGATAACTGTATACGACGATGTAAGAAGAAATTGTGTTGAAACTCATTAGCATGTGTTTGTATTTATTTTACTTTAGGCCTATCACAAATGTCACTTTGACATAAAAGAGGATTGCGCATTATTATTTTGTTATTAAGCACCTTTCGGGGGTTTTGTTAATTTTTCCGGCGAAACAAAATAAAATATCTTACCGCGGTACGTATTGGGACATTTCGGAGGGATTTCTTCTGATGAAACACAAATGCCTTTAATATTCCAATTTAGCTGGTTCTTGATGGAAATGAAATAGTGAAAACAATTTATTTAACACTTCCATTTTGTTATAGTAACATTTTTGTTGTTTTTTTATTTTTACGTTTTACGGAAAAACGGCGAACGTGAACTCAATTTTCTGCTGGGTGCTTTTTGACAGTTGTATAAATTTAGTCTTTTGTCAGCAAATTGAAATCTTAAGCGTCTTTGCAATCGTTTGTAATTGAAATCAGGATCTAGACATTTTTCACGGTGAAAATTACCAAAAAAAGATGGGTTTCATCTAGAGATATGCAAAATGGTTTTTTAAAAGTATTTAAGTACAAAATGCAAATACTTTTTTGATTTGTTATTTCAAATGTAAAATACAAAATAGATTTCCCTTTTGTATTTTAAATGTTAAACGCAAAATACTTATTTTCTTGTAGTTGGTACCTATTTAATTTTCTACATTTACATAAGTATAAATTATTTTTTAAGAAAACCTTACAGGCATTTACTCATTTTTTAAATATTGGAGTTTTTCTAGACTAATAGTGGTGTTTGCACTATATCGTCAGCTGCGAAGATTGAGTATGATTGATATTTTTCTTTTTGAAGTGATTGAGATATAGTTTTTCAATCTTTGTGTTATAGTTTCTTCAGTTCACCAACAAATAATTCATCTATATGCTGCCTTATTTGTCTTTGTCCCCCGTTTTAATTGAGAAAGAGAAAGATGCCAAAATAGTTTGTTTAGCGTGAAAGATCAGAGCCAAAATAGGGTTGCACATAATTTTATTGATGTCCAATCAACATTAATTAATTTATATCAAAATATTTACAACCCCATTTTGTTTCTTATCACACTGTATTAAGAGAAAGAAATGGAATCCATAGTTTCTTTAGCTTGACATTGAACCCAGAAAACAATATCGATTAGATTATCTATTTCCAAGATGTTTAGAATTTTTAGGGCTCTCTTCAGTTAAAGTTAGAAGGCATTTATAATATTATACAAATAAAATAACAAAAACTGTTAGTCGCCACTAATTGAAACGTACATTTATTTCAATACTTAACTAAGGCGCTAATTATTTAATTTTGTAAAATTATTGGAATTTATCTATACGAATCAATCCAAAAAACCAATCTCGAAGCGAATGAATTGAAAAAGCGTCAACAGTAGCTACATCCCTGGTTTACAGTAAAAACATTGATTGAGACATCAGGAATCTAGTCATATTGATGACTGAAGAAAGGATAGAGGATAAACACCGCATTATATATTTCGAATAAGAGTTATTGTTGAAATCAATGATTTTAAAAATTTCCTCAACATGCACTGAAATTATCATTCATGTCCAATTTTAAATTTCTAGGATATCAAAAAATATATGCTAAAGTCAATGAAAAAAGCGATTATATAAAGATTTTGCATTGAGAGATACGGAACCCTAAAAAGGATCTACCTAATCTTTTCACTTCACAAAAGTGATTCGTTTGTTATTTATTGTACCTGTTACAGCTACAAAGAAAATGACCTAGTCAGAAGTCCTGTCTTTGTAGGCAAACAAATCAAAAAATTTAACCTTCACAAGTATTAAGAATCTTATAAAAATGTTCACATATTACTAGCTGACGTAAAATGTTAAGAATGTATTCACATTATGACTGTTGTTTACTGTGTATTTGAAGTTTAAATGTTTGAAAAGTGTAAAGATCAAATTAATGTATTATAGGTAGGTACAGATAAAACTGTACATGATTTGGTACTGATGTACAAGAAATAAAAACCAACCGGGTATGTTACCGTTAAGGCAGAAATAAAGGAAAAAATGCAATCCATCACCAATTAATTAAGATTAATTAATTATTATTAATATTTTGCGAAAGAAAATATTTGACTATTAATTCAACTTTTCACATTCTAAAGACAGTATATCACTTGGTAAGTAGTGATTGTCGTAAACCTTTTGTAGTATTTCGTAGGCTTTAGTTGCAATAACAATAATGTTTATAACATGAAGTTACCCTTTCAATTTATATTTTGCTAAACAAGACTGAAATTATATTGAAAAAGCAATGCCAACGGTGGCTTTGCATTTCTCTAGAAAGTTTTGGGAAGTCTAGCACATAAGTAGTAGATTTTAGATTAAGACTTAACTGTAAATTATGATTAGTTATTTGGCTTCTTAGCTCGACTTTTATTAAGTTAATAGAAGAGAAAACATGTCTCTACAAATACGTTGACTCAATGGATCATGAGTAGAGTAAGTATTCTTTCTTTTATTTGGCCATAACCTTCCGGAAGATTATTCCAGGTATCTAAAATTAGTGTTTCAGGCTTAGGCATCACTTTCAGAGCTGTTCACTTACGCCGAGATATCAAAAGACATTTCTGCCTTTCCAGCTTTTCTAAGTTACTACTTAGACTCGTAAATTTCGAATTCCACAAACTTTTGCTTTTTATATCTAGTAATTGGATTTCAAATGAACCAGCATTGACATTAAATAGAGTAAAATTTAGTTCTTTGCTGTTTGCTTTGAGAGAATTTACAATGAAAGCCAAGGAAGGCTTATTTATTTTGAACTGATCAAATCGTTCAGCAAAGTCATTCTTCATTGTTTTGATCTTTCTTGTGATGCACAGTTTCCATCCTAATGACTCCTTATAATTTGGAAAAGTATTAGTGTGTCTATCTCCATATATTCTGCTAAAAGAAGCAATATATTTTCACAACCAACTCCTTTTTTCCTTAAAAAAAAACGCATGCATTTTCACGAGATCAAAATCGAGACTGCAAGATCAACATTAATTTATTTGGTGATCACTAATCTCTGGTAAAATTAGGCGAAACCAGTTTAAAGAATGATTTGTGCAGATACATACGCATTTTTTATACGGAATTTAAAGTCTAGCTTTTAAGTAATACAGACAAAAATGCGAAATTTCTTAAGCAATATTTTATGATTTATTTGTAACGCAAAGTAAACTTCTTTTACTATTTATTACATAATTTGGGTACATTGACATTTTATAATCCATTGAAAAAATCAGGTTATTATTAATTAAACAATTTGCATACACAATGGTTTTTGTGTGGAGTAAGTACATTTTATAATTAGAGTCTAGAAAACTATTGCTTGAGTAGTAAGAAAACAAAATAGTTTGCGTTTTCAATTTTCCAATTTCGTAGAAAAATAAGCGGAAGTTCGATAGGTATTGGTTTTTTTATAGACGTATTCAGGCCAAAAAGTATGTAATTTATTAACTATTTTATACTATTTTATACAAAAAAACCCTTATTGATTTATTATATCAAGTGTGTATAGATAAATAAAAAGATTTCTTAAAATACCTAATTATGAAATGCATATCTATATAACTGAAAACTGTTCTTTATTATATATTATATTAAGCGTATACAACAGTAAGTTCATTAAACGACGATAATTAAGTAAATAAAGTAATGGATCATTTCAATCATAAAATGCACACATCGTCGTAAACGGAAATGAACTAGACAAAACCATGATTAAGCACCTAATGCAACTTGATTGTTTTTGCGAAAATACTTATTTTATTTTTATTTCATACAATCCATAACGATTTATAAAATTATCCGAATCTGAAGTAATGATATATGTATGTATTTGCTTGTAAAATACCTAAAAACATAATAAAACAAAGAAAACATGGTGCATTGTTATAAGTACTAAAGCCTTTCTTGGTATACGACGATTGCACAGCCGAAACAACAGGCGATCAAAATTCAGTTTAATAGTTTTTGAGAGATGTTCTTTGATGCTCCAAATATAGAAAGAAAAATTCAAAAAAATCGGGTTCGTGTTTCATAAAACTTCATCCGACTTTATTAAACAGTTTAAAAGATATTACAGGATGAAAATCACAATAAACGAACTTTTCCTTGTAACTGAAATCAGAGCCACTGAGATAGCTGATGGTACGATATTTTGGAATTGATTGACCATTAAAATGACTATGTATATAAGCAAATGGCTTCATTTCCATTTCATTTTCTTATGTTCATACATAAATACATAAGTAAATACACAGGAGGAGAGCACATAGAAGCGCATAATAATGAGACACAAGGGAAACGATAGTGACAGACTTAAGACCTTCCTCTGGATGATCCGAATGAATAGGAGAGGCAAATTAAACCAACGGGTGAGAAAAACCCAGTGATGAAAAGAGTAGGGATAGGCGATTATTACATTTTATATCGATTTATAGCGGTTAATATCGATTTGTTTTGAAAACTGACAATAATCGATTAATCGGATGATTTATCCAGCCGTAGGTACTAGATACATAATTAAGTTGTGGTATAATACTTGATATTTACACTTCAATGTAAGAAAAAAAATCAGACGAAATCCTTAGTTACGTATGCAGTTTATTTTATATTGTTTAGATAAAAAATTTGCAATTACTTAAAATATTTAAGTTGAAATACATTCGTAGCTCTTGTTTTTAATATCCACCCGATAATAGTCATTTCAATTAGTTAAGAACAATTACGCTAGGTACATATTTGAATATAAAAATAAAAAATTGTACTAACCTAGTCTTATGACCAGTTTCTTTGTATCCATGGTGCACATAATATTTGTCTTTTTTGTGTTTATGATGCCTATTGTGCGATCTGAATCCAAAGGGCATATAGTACACTTTCAAACCTGGCGATTTATGCTTCTTTTTATCCAACAATTTACTTTTCTCCATTGTGCGCGGGTGTGGAACTTAAGAACAGGTTTTTCACGATGCAGGATTCTTGTGGCCCACTTTACAATCACTCACTAGACTTGTAACAAGAAACAGGTGACTGCGTTGTTTTGTTTAATACATAACTGTGACTTGAAACACATTTCACATAAAACTGTGCTGATAAGTCGTTTAATAATAACGAGAATCGATATCGAATGTATGTATGTAATCCATTATTGGCACGCTTATTATTACGTAGTTTACAGATAAATGATTTCTGATAAATAACTATTTCCCGTTTTGTTTTATTTCTATTTCTGTTGCATCTACTGTAATTGCGGTGAGATCTCGACGTACTGACTGTCCTATGAAAGAATGTTTGAAAGTTTTTGAGAGTCGTAAGCACAATTACGTATTTATTATTATTAAATACCTTGTAAGTTGTTATTCTCGCCGTTCTTTACGTCCTACAATTGCAATTCATTCTTTTTAAAGTGAATTAAATTGACGACGTTGTTGACCATGACATGACGGTTATTTATTAATTTATATCTTGTCTTGTAAAGTTGTATCCAATTGTATCATTTTAATGCAAAGTATTCTTTTAATAAAACGAAAAACGTGAAAAATTGTAATGTAAAACTGAAAACAGTGATTTGCTATTTTATTGCATAAGGCTAGTTCCACACGAAGCGGATACCGCGTGGTTCAACGCTTATAGGTTTGCAAGTTTCCATAAGGTCACGTTTGGTGAACTCAGTACTGGGCGAGCACGGAAAGAAAATTTGTTGCGTGTTGTGTTATCAGTACCTATTCACTTCATTTTTTTTGAAAGGTCATACTCATAGTATGTACTGCAAAAATTTTAGACAGTAAGTATGTCCAAAGAATGTATGGAGAAAATCTCTTAAAATTCTAAATCTAAGACAAATTCCAAAAAAAATATTTATAGTCAGAAATGTTTTTTAAACTTAATAGAATTTAATACGAACAGTATAAGTTTATGTTTAGTAATTTATTGTTACTATCAGATGTAGGACAAGAGACTAGAGATCATACGTTTAAGTTAGTTAGTCACATTTACGACACGGGGAAAGTCCCTGACGATTATAAACGGAACGTGGTAGTAACCATTCCTAAAAAGAGGGGTGCGGATGGGTGCGAGACATTTAGAACAATTGGCTTAGCTTCCCATGTGACAAAAATCTTAACTAGAATTGTACAGAGAAAGAAGGAAAAAGGGCGGAAGAACTATTAGGGGAAGATCAATTTGGGTTTAGAAGAAATATAGGAACGCGGGAGGCTATTTTAGCTTTACGTGTAACTATAGAGAAAATGATAGAAATAGGAAAGAGTGTGTACATAGGATTTGTAGATTTAGAAAAAGCTTTTGACAATGTTGAATGGGACAAGATGTTAAACATACTTAAAAATGTAGGGATGAGTTACAAAGATAGAAGAGTGATACTTAGTTTGTATAAAGAGTAACACGCAGTTATAGAGCTGGAGAAGCAACGCAGAGAAGTAAATATTAGGAAGGGAGTCAGACAAGGTTGTAAAATGGCTAAGCAACAAGATTACTTTTAGCAAATGCGAAGATTAGCTCAGGATAGGAAGGAGTGGAGGTGCGTGTTCAACCAGTCTTAGGACTGACGACTTTATGATGATGACTATGAGATTTGGGTTGCTTTTTGGATGCACTGCAATCTAATTTTCAATGTCAAAATTCATTTAGTCATATTGCTGCTAAGACTGATTGAACGAGGAATAACATATATAAAAGGTGATATGCATATTCATAGATTCGTATAATTATACAAAAAATCCCTTTACAGCAATTAAGTCTTTAAGACAAAAAATACTTAAACTTAGAGTTACATATTATAATAAATTAACAAATCATCAGGGTATACATTTGTTTAAAATAATATTTACTTTCGTGAAATCCTCATTTTTTCAACAGCGGAAAACAAGTCAGCGGCAAGTGTTTGGGGTTCTTCCAATGCCAAAAAATGTCCCCCATGAGTTAACTCTGTACTTTGAACAATGTTAGGATACCTATCTCGTAACAAACTGTCTGGTTGGTACATAATTTCGTAAGGAGCTTTTAAAAAGGCGATTGGTACTTCTTTTGGCAATTGAAAACTGCAAAGTAATAGTAAAATCATAACATATTCGATAAAAGATTTCAATCAGTTAGAAAAAATATACAAATATATAAATTAGTCAATAAATTTCTACAGATTTTAGAAACATAATGGCAGTTTTAACATAAAAAAATAAAAGCTAATCAGGAAACAGTAAACAAGAAGAGTACCTTGATGATTGCTAAGGAAAGTAGATTTGAAAATTAAGTGAAAATTCTTTCTAAATAGCATAAGCTGTCTTTGCCGAGCATCAAAATTTAAATGAAACTAATTTATTTTTAATCGTATCTCCTTATGCCCTCCGTTTGTCTTTTTGGTAAAAACATTATCTGATTTTCAAAATGTTTGCCTTTAAGAACTAACTGTGAGTTAATGTAGATTGTTTGTAAGATATTTATAGCTGCTGCTAATAAAACAAACGAAACGATAAGAAAAGACATCTAGACAATTCTTTTCTATAATACCTGTACATATTTATGTAGATTTGTAGATGTTTTTAAAAAATATGATACATACCTGTCAATGTTTACCCTACGGTTTTCTTTGCTGTATTGTTCTGCATAAAATCTTGCGGCTGTCGTAGCAGAATTTGTCACCCAATACAACATTACGTTGTCTAGTAAGTCCGTATAGGTAAACTTTTCCAGGAGCCCGCCGTCTTCAAGGGCCCTATAGTTGGGATTTGTACCGGTGGAAAACTTTTCCAAAATATATGCGGCTAATCCTGCTGGAGAATCATTCAATGCTGTACCTATAAATATTAAATTATAAAAAGGTATATCACAATGTTCCATCATCACTTCTGGTTCTGTTTGATCAAATCATTTCTTGGACAGTTTTAGTACGAGTTAATGATGAGTAAAGCAAGACTGCCTCAGTGTTTTTTGTTTACCTATTGTGTCTGGTTTTGTTGCTTGAATATGGTAATATCCAGTTTCGGCAAGTAATGATTTAAATATTCTGCTCAATGGATACATCATTTTGCTCTGATCTTCTTTGCTAATTCCTACAATGCTTGGCCAAAAGCTGCCCAAAATTATTTTCCATAGGGTGACACTCATCAACGAAATGCACATATTAATGTGCAAACCAAGGACATTTTTTGGGTATTGAGAAACCAACGACGTAGTTATTTGACTGCCCCAATCACCACCTTGGAGGTAGTACCTTAATGACGAAAAAACTTTTTAAAGTTGCTTACTCATTATTTAGACGTATTAGACATTTTTATCATTAGAAATGGCAAAAGTTGCTGTTTTGATGTACAAAGCGTGTTTATAAAATAAGGGCTGTTTCCCTATATTTAAAAATTAGTGAGTCTGAACAAAATTATCAGTAAAGGAATAGTACAAACTACTGAATGTTTACGGAGGCTTGTAAATGATTATCGTTTCCTAGTCAGTGAGTGCAGATCTTGCGAAAATCTTTGATTCCATCAATTGAGAAGTGAGAGCCGTGTGTCGTTTTTAGTCTGCAAAAAGATCTTCAACATCTCAAATTGATAAGGAATTATGTCTCGTTACTGGAACAACTTCAGTGAGTGAAGGAAAGGTTAGACAGTGATGTCGAGAGTGGTAGGCTCAGTTTTCAGACCAATGAACTCGTTGAACAGGTGAAACAAAAGCCCCGATCTGATAGACAATTGACAATTGTACCCTTGCTGATAAATTACCTCTTGATGGAGGTGAATACCGAAAATGCTCAACGACGAACACAAAGAGTATTGTGTATCGTTATGTAAGACACATTAGAAACCAAACAATAGCCAAAACAGTGGCACCGTTCAAATTTACCAAAATCGAAAAAAATTAAGCTTTCTTTGTACTCGACTTGGAAAATGATGACTACCAAACTGTGAAGTTCGATCAAAAATCGTAGGCGAGGGAAACTGTCGTCGGGAATTCAATGCTCGAATACATACCGCTAAGTAGAAGATATAAGACTTTTGTTGCAAACTTCGAACTACAGTCCCTACCTATTTCCTGTTCTTGCACTAGCAGTGACTTCTTTGTGAACAACGCTTCGAGAACAACGAGAATCTCAAGATAGCCACTGTGAACTGATTCAATTTCCAATAAAGAACCGCTATGCCGAGTGTTTAAAGAAGCTGATGCATCAGAAGGAAAAATAATTAGAAGTAAATGACAAAAAGTGAACCGCTGCTACAACCAAGCAGAAGATCCAAGACTTTTGTTGGGAACTTTGAACTACAGTCCCTACCTATTTCCTGTTCTTGCACAAGCAGTGACTTCTTTCTGAACAACGCTTCGAGAACGACGAGGATCCCAAGATAGCCACTGTGAACTGATTCAATCCCCAATAAAGAACCGATATGCCAAGCGTTTAATAAAAGCTGATGCATCAGAAGGAAAAATAATTAGAAGTAAATGACGAAAAGTGAAATAGAAAACTAAGATTGTCGATAAATTAATCATGTCTCTATTTATCATTAGGCATTTACCTGTCAAATCCTAATCTTTTCATTAAATTCATAAAAGCAACTGCAGCGTGAGGTACTGCAAACCCAGGTTTGGCAGAGGCATCTGAAAAGGCATAGCCGGGGATTGATGGCGCGATCACCTCAAAGGCAAAGTTTTTTCCATCCATGGGTTTCGTAAGTAAGGGAATCAAATTGTAGAATTCTCTTACACTTCCTGGCCATCCATGTAAAATTAGCAAAGGGTAGATTTCTATATGACTGGGTAAAGATGTAGGCTTGACGTGCAGATAGTGAATGTCTAAACCCTAAAAAGGTGATAATAGTATCATAAACATCATCATCATAAGCTCGTCAGTCTTAAGTTTGGTTGAACACGCACCTCCACTCTTTCCTATCCTGAGCTAATCTTTGCATTTCCTTAAAACTAGAATAACCCACATCCTTAAGTATTTGCGAACAGTAATCTAATCTAGGCCTACCTCTATCCCTCCTAACTCCCTTTTAGCCTTTAATATGTCTCTGACTAGACCTTCATGTCTGAGAAGGTGTCCTACGAACTTATCCTGCCTAATAGAGTCCTCTGTTCTCGTATTCTTTCTAATATCTCTTCATTTCTAACCTTCTCTATCCACGGTATCCTCATCATTCGCTTGTAACACCACATTTCGAACGCTTCCAACCTTTCGTTTTCCGCCGCGTCCACCGTCCATGTTTCGCACCCGTACATCCACCTTTAACAATCTTTTTCGAATATCTAAATTAACCGTTTGCGAACATAGAAGTGACTTCTTTTTATTGAAGGCAACTCGACCCTGCGCTCTTATCTGCCTTGTATTCCTGCTACTTCTTCGGTACTGACTTATCTGACTTCTTAGATACCTAAAATCAGCCACTTCTTCTAATTTATAGTCTCCTATCTTCATATTCGCTCTTTCCCTACTTTTTCTTCCCTTGCATACCAGTATTTTTGTTTTACTTTTATTTATTTTTATACAGTACTGTTTTTTCAATTAACATATTGAAATAAAATATACAATAAATAAATGATGAAAATTTGTCCTTTACTTAGATGCAGTCGTAAGACGCGTGCTTTAAGTAACAACCAAATTTATCTTAAGGCAGGCGAGGCGCTTCAAATTAAATTCAACTTTATTTTTTTTATTGAAACAAGAAATTTGTCTCTTTACAACGTTTGTAAAAGTAAAAAAAAATATTACAAAACATTTACCTGTATATTAGTTTTAAATTGAGGAAATTGATTTAAATAAATTTCACGCTCTCTCCAGTTGTACTCATCTTTCCAAAAGTCGATTATGTTTTTTAGGAGGTTTGTGTTAAAGCCATACTCCTGTGCGATGTTTTCCAAAGGAGGTGTAAATCTTCTGGTGTTTTTCAATCGTAATTGCAAATCATTGAGAACCTTATAAGTAATTACAGAAAGTGAGACTTTATTATTATTTATTATCAAGAATATATTAAATAAAATAATAAGAACCTACCTAACTTCTTTTGGGTTTTTAGACACTTGACAATTTTTGATAATACGTACAAGGAAAGTAAAGTTAAACAAAGCAGTTATGTGTTTCCAATTATAAATAGTAAAACAACAATTTTTATTTTTATTTCTTGACAATAAAAATTATTAAATGTGGGCATAATGTTATAACAAGTATTGTGGTTATTATTTTTATTGGGGATATTACATTAATTTTCAATTTTCAAAACTCATTTTGCTCTTTTAATTTCATAGCTTTAAAAAGATACATCTAACCAATTATTTTGTATAATAAATGCAAACATTTCATAAAACGTACTGTTGTACTTATTTATTCTCTATTAATAATTCTGGGAGTCTATAATAAAAATTTAACAATAAATAAAAACAACGACCGGTTTCAATAATGGTATTACGTAGTATCTAATAATAATTACAAAAAAATTTAAAAATAAAATTGACATACCTCTTCCTTGATATCCACTTTGAACGGTCTTATAGATTCATCTGTAACTTTCGGGGAAGATCCGGGTCCCCAATAGAAATTTTCGTCAAGGATCGGTAAATTTTTTCTTAACGATTGAGCATAGGAAGGTGAAAACAATCTTTTAAGTGCTGCATACATGGACATACTTTATATATGTATGTAGGTACTTAATATATTTGATATAATAATTGAAAATAAGTTTTAAACTTAAAAAAAAGTGCGTGTAAGTTCTTTAGTAAATCTTATTAAGGACTAATGCGTAGAGTAGTTACTTAAAGAATGAAAACTTTGATTAATTATACACACAAGATAGAATGATTTTATACGATTACGTAAGTAATCTATCTATAGTGGCTTTTGATTTCAAATCGCGATATTTAAATCATTATATTTATAACGTATACTGTACTTCATACATGTGTGCTACTTTGTTAAACTATTTCATTTGAAAGTGTTTTCAATTTTTCCTTCATGGAAAGTATAGGGATTTAAAAGGACAAATATAGGCATCAGTTGCCACTTAAGCCTTTAGCTAGCGGAAAAAACGTACTCGTGACTAATTGTTCTCTAATTGAAATAGTTATTAACTTTATTTGTAGATAGTTCGAATTGGTAAACAGTAAATACTTCTGAAATAATTCGAAGTGGTCTGTATTCTGTCGAAACTGCCAGACGCTGATCGCGATTTCGATCTTTTACGTAATCCTAAAATGCAGCATCGTGCTACAGATGGCGTTCACTGCGCCATTTGTAGTATTTTCTAGTAAATACTTCTATTCTTTTACTTAGAATATCAATTTAAGAAAAGTTATGTTACTTTTAATGTACTGACTAATATATAACGGTTTTTTGTTAATAATTGCTTTTATTATTTAATAAATTAACTCTTACATAATCGATTTAGATTGTTTAATTTTCTTATTTCAAAGTTAGAAAGCTTAGATCACGTATGAATACAAAAATAAATCAGTTTCAACCCCTGAGGTTCACACTGACGGCCTTTTAGCAGAAAATAATAAATAAATAATTTACTTTTTTGCATTTTTTTCTTACATTTGCATTTTCCTTGGGTTTTAATAAATAAATAAATAAATGTCAAATCTACTAATACTAATTTATTTAAGACCTCAAGACGTACTTACTAATTCAAGAGACGACCTTTCTTCAAGTTTCATCAAAATATATTTTATTGTACTTGATTAATAATAAATTGATTTATACACAACATTAGTTAGTAAACATTACTGATAATTTTATTGTTGGTTGTTGATATCCCTGTTTTTAGAGTAGTTTTCTTCAATTTTCTGAATTGCCGTCCAGATATCTTCAGCTAAAATTTGTGGTAGTTCAAATGCCGCAAAATGGCCACCGTCGTTATAAGTTACTGAGTGTATAAGATTGGGGTACTTTTGTTTTAATAGTAAATCAGGACTGTAAACCAATTCATTTTTAAATTTGGCACAAGCAGTAGGAACGTTGACAGAAATCCTGAAAACAATAACAATAATGTTGTAATACGATTTCTGACTGAGGCATTCAATGGAAAAACTTTACAATGTTCTGAATATGTCAGAAATTACAACGTGGAAAACGTTGTTATTTTATTTAATTAATTACTGAGATTTAAGATTGTTAAAGGTGTATGTCTGAAGAAAAGGTTAAAACGTTTAAAATGTGGTGTTCCAGGCGAATGATGAGGATATAGTGGATAGAGAAGGTTAGAAATGAAGAGGTATTAGAAAGAATAGGAGAACAGAGGTCAGTAAGAAATAGGCGAGGTAAGTTTGTAGGACACCTCCTCAGGTATGAAGGGCTAGTTAGAGACATATTAGAAGCAGAAACAGGCGTTAAGAAGAGTAGAGGTTTTATGATAAAAATCCACGAGTCGACATTTAGGTTAGGTTAAGTTTCGGATCTAGAAGTTGATAATTGGTACCCATAAAATAAGATCTCTTTGTTGTATCTTCACCTGTCTAGTTGTAGCGATGTATGATCCTTGTTAAATGTTTCCGAATACAATCTCATGGACGTTGTTATACTCCCTGTTATCCAATAAATCATTACATTGTCCAGTAAGTCTGCGTAAGAGAACTTCTCTTTCAACCCTCCATCTTCTCTCTTTATCCACTCTTTGTTGGTCCATGTGATAAATTTTTCGATTATATAAGCGGCCAATCCGACTGGAGAATCATTTAAACTTACACCTAATAAGTAGCATAGGTATTATTCAAAATATAAGAAATATGTGATTATTTTTATGTAAATTTATGTGAAGAAATCATAAACTTGAAGAAAATACAATGATGCTTAGGAAATTGAAGAATGTTCGGACTTCCCCGAAGTTAAAACAGTAAAGATGTCTGAAATAGAGTGGAAGTAAAACAAAAATAAATAATTTTATCTACTAGTCTTTACCGTCTGCTATATTTGTACATATCAATGTTATTTATAAAGTTTGTTTCATCCTATCAGTTGATAAATTCAGCAAAAGTAAAACATAGTGGATTATACATGTCTGAGCGTTTGAAATAACCCATTATCCCGAAGAAGTCCCGATTGGATTATACATTTTACATTTTTAGAAAATATAAATTATGAAATGAAGTCTACTGTTATTTGGTTACAATCCACATNGCTAAATACTTATTAAATCGCAATCCTAACGTCAATGATAATTTTAAAGTATTTTACACGATAATAAGTTATTAAGGTATTATTAAAAATTTTTAGAAACAAATAACTTTATTTTATCAATAAATTCTATAGTTAACTTACCAATTGTATCTGGCTTAGTTGCTTGTAAATGTAGGTACCCGGTTTCTGATATTAAATAATGAAAGAACGAACTAAGAGGGTATAACAAATTTTGATATTCATCTTCTACCACTAATTTTGGATATAATGAACCAAAGAAATGAATAATTTGAGAAATAGGTTTCGACGAAAAGCACAAATTAATATGAAGACCTCTCACGTTGCTAGGGTACATAATAGACATGGTAGTTCCTATTATAGATCCCCAATCTCCCCCTTGAACGTAGAATTTATTAAACCCCAGACGGTTCATTAGATTTTTCATAATCATTGCAACCTGGGCTGCTCCTAATCCAGGTTTACGTGTTGCTTCTGAAAATCCATAACCAGGTAAAGAGGGCGCTATTATGTCAAAAACGAAATTCTTGTCCTTTTGGGGTGTTGTCAATAAAGGAATAATTTCATAAAATTCTCTAACCGAACCGGGCCAACCATGAAGTAACAGCAATGGCAAAACATGTAATTCTCTAGATTTTGGTATATTGGGCTTAACACGAAGGAAATGTATAGTTAAACCTTGAATTTGGGTTGTAAATTGAGGAAATTTGTTAAGATAATTTTGCCTTTCCGACCATTTGTAATCGTTTTTCCAATATTCGATTATTTCATCAAGTAATTTGCTGTTTATGCCATATTGTTGAGATACATTTTCCAGTGATGGGATGAAAGTACGATGATGTTTTAAACGAAATTCCAAATCGTCTAAAATCTGAAATAATCGTAATAAAAATTGTAGTAACTATTATTTACGGTTTCATACAGATGGAATTCGTAGATGTAGTAATGTAAAGTACTATAAAAACTTTAGGTTACTTTATAAATCCATCAAATTTTGTTTGTTCAATACTTTTAGTTTTTTCGAAGGGTGGCAACATTTGTTAAGAGAATATGGAAAAATATTAAAATAAGTTTCAATAGATAGTGGATAATGGATAGTGTGAATAAGAATTCAGCTTTTTTATTTACGATTAGTTTAATTTTGTCCTTTTAAAAATTATTTACCTGTTTTGAAATATTAATTTGAAATGACTTTATTGTTTCGTCATGTATTTTTGATTTATCAGTATCTCCCCACCAAATGTTTTCCAAATGTGGTGTAGTTGGGTCACTTAAAAGTGATTTTAATGTGAAATGTATAATCACACTGAAAATAATTCCACTTAAAACTAATATATAACGTGCCGGTAACATTCTAAAAAAAATATTGTAAAAATATAATAAAAAACTGAAAATTAACGAGTTATTTTAATTAACCGTCCATATTTGCTGTTTTAAAACTAAAACTACAAAGTTATTAGATTTAAGGCCGATGATATTTGTGTTACATTTAGTTATTCAATGCATTGAAACTATTTGTAACAGTAACTGATTGTGATGTTATAAGGTTTTTATCAGTTATATTTACATTTTGGATTGATTATTATATTTTCTTGATAAATTGTAGTAGATAGATATGCACAAATGGTGTAAAATATTAACTAATTTATTTATGTTATATTTTATTTTAATCTTTAACTTTCAATTTTCAACAGCATATAAATATTATTATATATTATTATGATCCGCTTGTACGATTAATAATGAAATACTTTTATTAATGATCAGAATAGGAATTTCAGTATTTTTTTGAGTGAAGTTAAGGTCTCGAATTGAACCAAAGTAAACAACAATCCCCTAAATTCCACATAAAACGATTACTGAAATTTCCAACTTAGGATGGCATATTGCGTGACAAAACGCCTTTTAGGTTTTTTTGAATGTTATACATAATTTTAAGGTATAATGTTTAATGTAGGTAGATGAAGATATTTATATAAATAATTATTAATTCTATTAACTTATCGGACAATAGTGATGGAAATTGTTTGTTTGTTTAGTGATAATTTTCAAGGTTAAGAAATTGTCACTGGAATTACATTTACTTGATGAAAATTAATCTCCACTATTAATATTAATTGTATTTAANTGTTTGCCTCAGAAAGCTTTAGTTACATAGGACAGAATATAATGTATTATGCAACAAGGAAAGAAAGTAAGGCATTCACGCAGAAAACTAAATTTTTATGACAACGCAAATTATTTCAAATTTGTTAATTATTACAATTTAGTTAGTAATATGGACTAAAATACCTAGTAAATTTATTTCTGTTGGGATTTTATTTTTATAAATTCGGGCCCAAATTGTAATTTTTATTATTTTTGCTTACGAAAGCAACGGGCTAGTGGGATAAATTGTAAATATCGCTTTAATATTTAGGTATATTTTACTTTTTCATTTTCTTCATAAATGTAAAGTCATCTACGTCTACGTGTGCGACCATTTAGCGGTGGTGAATTACTTAATTTAATTTGTTTATCGATTAGATAAGTATGTTTATATTTATTAATTTCTAAAGTTTATTGTAATTAAATCTTCAAGCTGTTATTATTGAATGTGCAAAGTATTTCAAAGTTATCATCGAAGTAGTGGTTGTGATTTAATACGTAAATGTTTATGTCTTATTATGTGGATGGATTCTTGTGGTCAAGAAATTTTTATGTTAAAATTTTTATGTTTTGCCAATATAACATTCGTTATAAGATATCTATACAATATATACGCACATGTAAGAAAAACATGTAGGTATTTTAACATAAGAATTAATGAACATAAAAATTCTTTCTTTATAATATGTAAATGAGATTCTAATTACGCTAAATACTTATTAAATCGCAATCCTAACGTCAATGATAATTTTAAAGTATTTTACACGATAATAAGTTATTAAGGTATTATTAAAAATTTTTAGAAATCAATAAATATAAAAATACTAATGGAATCTAAGCAATTAGCAAGTACAATTAAGCATTTTTCTGCACGCTAACTCCTTCCTCTATCCTCACTCCCTCCAATATCATATAAGAAAAAGTTTTGTAATCGTAGGTTGTTCTTCTAAAATTTCTGCAAGGGCCCCAGGTCCCAGTGGCAGTGATACAATTGTTAAAAGTTTATGATACTATGTACACCAAGTCGGCGTTTTATTAATCTTCAAAAATTGTCAAAAATATTAATAAAGATTTATTATATCTTTCATAAATACGTACCTACATTAAAAAAATTTTACAAAATTACATATTATAAAAAAATTATGTTCTGTTCTGGTTAGCTTTTCTGTTAATAATTTCTTCGAATTTCTCAACTGCGTTCGCGATATCATCTGCTAAAATTTGGGGTACTTCGAAGGCAGGAAAATGCCCTCCTTCCGTATAGTATTTTGATTGAACCAAATTAGGATATTTTGTCCTTATCAGGGTATTTGGAACACTTAATAATTCGTTTTTGAACTTTGCGCAGGCTGTTGGTACTTTGGCTGGAATACTTAAAAATAAAAGATTACATATTTTGTAGAAATTGTTATTTAAGCGTTGAAGATAAATTGAGGGTTATCACCATAAATTACAGATAAGTAAATGTTAGGTACACACTTCTATGTGTAAAATTAAGTTTATTTTGTCTTGTAATGGTGTAGCCCCTTGTAATTAGGTAATGCTTCAAAAATGTGATAAAGGCTAATATGGTGAAATTATTGAGATTCCGAGCTTATAACTGACAGATTACCTAAATGCCCACCTGTCTAAACCCAGAGCTTTCTGTTCTTGACTAAAATGTTCGGCGTAAATTCTAAACGATGTGGTGATACTTCCGGTCACCCAGTATATCATAACATTATCAAGTAAGTCGGTAAAAGTAAATTTTTCTAAAAGACCCCCGTCTTCTCTGTATCTCCAACTTTTATTGGTCCACGTGGAGAACTTTTCAATGATATAAGCAGCTAATCCCACGGGAGAGTCATTTAGGCCAACCCCTAAAATAAAAACATACTATAATATACAGTGTTATTAATAGCCTAAGCTCTTACTGCGTAGCACTTAACCCTTGACATTTTTTATAATTTTATAGTATATTAAACTTTAAAGCTTTCGATTCGCCTNTGAATGTATTGAGACTGTGTCTGGTATTCAACTTTTTCTTTTTGGTTCATAAAAGATCTGTAAAACACAAAAATTGAAAAAATAAAGTTGAACTGAACAATTTGTATAAAATTTAATCGAAATTTATGGCGAACAATAGTACATTTTTTATAATTTTATAGTATATTAAACTTTAAAGCTTTCGATTCGCCTCTTTAGGGGCGATATTTCGAATTATTTTATAGTTAATGATACCGTTGCGTAAGAAGCTTTGTGTAAAATTTCAAGCTTCCTGATTTAATGGTTCGGTCTCTGCTTTGATCGATAATGGATACCCCCCTTTTTCATCACATTAGGGGTTTGTGTAAAATAAGTCTCAAAACCCAGGGGTTTGGATTGTTAGTTAGTTATGTCAGTTAGTCAACTTATTAATCGACGAAATTGTGTAGTAAACAACAAAAAGGCATCAAAACTAGTGTCAGAGTAATAAAAAACATAAACCAACTAAGCTGTTAATCTTGTTGAAGGATTTAAAGAAAAATCTTCGTGCGATTTATTCGTATGGGGCATACCTAAACGCTGGTTAAATGTTATAAAAGAGTTGGGTCAATTTCGGAAGGCGAAGTCCACAAACAAATGCTATAATAAAAACAATTTCAAGTATACATTGGTTTTTGGATTACTTCATATAGACTATGTGAATGATATCAACGCAATTGTTTGATAATTGTACTGTAGATATTTATTTTGTTTACGACAATGAATTCTCTAAATCGACGCGCTTGAAAGAAACAAAAGACGGATCATTGTACTAAAAGGCACGTGGAATAAGATAATAAAATGGCTCAGTTCTATTGGACCAATAAATTTATTTACGGACTTTGCCTTTTGAGAACGATCTAACTATATTTTGTTTATCATTCACGGAAAAATTAAATAAGTTTTCCATATCAACGTACCAACAGTATCTGGTTTAGTGGCTTGAATATGCATATATCCTGATTCTGATATTAGAAACATAATGGTTTCGGACAATGGATATACCAATTTTTCATGTTCTTCTTCAACAATTAAAGAAGGAAAAATGCTTCCTATTAGCAACTGTATTCTTGGTAGCGCGGTATAGACTATTCTACACAAATTGGAATGTACACCAAGTATGCTGTCGGGGTATAAGGTGCCCATAATACTAATAATTTGAGCACCCCAGTCGCCACCTTGGATGTAATATTTTTTATAACCCAATCGATACATCAATTTATTAAATATCTGGGCCATCTGGGCCGGTCCAAGTCCAGGTTTTGATGCTCCATCGGAGAAACCGTACCCTGGTAATGATGGAACAACGACTTCGAATGCAAAGTCTTTTTCACCCTGTGGCTTTGTTAATATGGGAATTATATGGTAAAATTCTCGGAAAGATCCCGGCCACCCATGAAGTAATAATATCGGTAAAACTCGTACATTTTTTGGCAATGAAGATGACGGTTTGGCATGAATGAAATGTATATTGCGTCCAAGTATTTCAGTTTTGAATTGCGGCAACTTGTTCAGAAACTTTTCGCGTTCTCGCCAGTTGTATTCGTTCATCCAAAAATCTACAATTTCACTAAGAAGATTTGTATTTATTCCATACTGCTGTTGAACTCCTTCTAATGGAGGAACGAATGGTCTATGATTTTCTAAACGCCATTGCAAATCATCCAGTATCTAAATAATGGAAGTTCAGAAATCTTAATTGAAAAATAATTACACTGAACGCTGAAAAATAAATGATGCTTTAGTTGCAATAGTAAATCTGATATTTGAAATATTTTCCAACAAAATGTCTAAAAACTAGAACTATAATGTAGTTCTAGTACTATTTAGATAGGTACCTATGTATTAAACTGAACCATAGGCTACTTACATAAAAGTGTTATCGGTCATAGAATCACAGCACAAACAATAAATTAATTTTTTTTTAATTCCACTTAAAATCATAAAAAGATAAACATTAACGTATTCTCTTATCTTATTTTTATACTTACTTCAGTTATTATTATTAATTTTAATTTTATAAAAAACTATTACAAACCACCCGATTCCTAATTTTCTTTTTAATAGTGGCACAAAAATTCTATTTACCTTTTGTGATACATTTATTGTAAACGGTATTATCGCTTCATTGATTTTCCTGGGAGATCCTTCATCCCNGCATTCACTCAGTTCTATTGTAGTAAAAGTTCGTGAATTGATTGGATAGGTTAGGTTGGGTTGGGTTACACATCTATCATTATTTATTACCTGCTGCGCATTGAACTGGTTCGAAATTTTCTGTATTAATATTTATCGGCGGTTTATCGAACATAATGTCATCTTTTTTATCACTTTTTGGATTTCTTTTCATGTCTTTGGCATAGGTATATTAATAACATAATAAAACCTCTTGAAACGTTGAAATCTTTCATTTTTTGAGCCAATTATTAAAGAAATATTCACATACCGGGGAATTAAAACAGTGAAACAGTAAAGATTGGGAGAAGGGGGATTCCGGGGACTCTATAAATCATGCAACGGGTAAGATAATGGGAATAGGGTAAGTTCAACCATCTTGTGGGATGGGGGACCCCCGAAGAGGGTCAATGTTTGTATTATGTAACGATTTTAGAATTTATTGAAAATTTAATTATTATTGGAAATTAAAGAAGCAGCTATTTAATTGATGCCTAAAACGTTTAGGTAACGGAATGGTATCCAAGGGAGGAGGGGTCACAGACCACTCGTTACTGCCCCGTTACATGGGGGAGATATTCAAAAATTTATGAATTTTGCATTACGAAATGAACATCCCTAAACAGATTTAATGCAATTATATATTTTTCATTTAATGCATAAGATCTATAATAATATGTTTGTTAGACGTTTTGCTATTCGTAGTATTAAATACATGTTTAACTTTGAGTATGTGTTAACCGTTTTATTTATTAAGGATTATCGTTTTAATTAAAATAAAATTGTCCTTTTGCGTTTGTCAAACATAAAAATTTATTTA